ATCTGAGCTCAAGGGCCACATCCAAATCATCCACTCCGTCAAAGACCAACTGGACAAGGCGCGCAAAAACCTCATCAGCCCCCTCATCCGTCGGGCACAGAGCAACAGCTTCGGCCTGGAGCAACAGCTCAACGACCTCACAGGAACCTATGGATTTCTCAAAAACCTCCGAGACGGCCAGAAGAAGAAAGTCCTCCAGCAATTATGGGGCGAGCCCAAAAAGCGCATCGCCATTACAGCTGGTGGCAAAGAGGAAGAGATTGACGAGGGCGACCACTAAACCTGCCCGTCTCTCACCTCGAATTATTAGCTCTTCGTCTCCCGTTTTCCAACTATAGACTCTGGTTTCTGGCGCATTGAGGGGCATATCCTTGTCTCGTTTCATCTGTCCTTTCTAGCATTGCAAGCGACTTGGTATAGACAAACGAGACCACGGGATTCTTCTTGCGTACTTTTATCCATTGGCGGAGTTTGCAGGCGTCACAAACATACACACACACACATTATCGTAAATGTGGCTTCCCTCTTTGTGCATTACAGCGAGATTCTGGTTCTTGTTGTTGTTGCTATTATAGCAGGCGAAACAAAGGAGTGGAGGCGTACATGGCATGGATTGAATTGACTTGAGTTCAGTTGAATTCGGTTGGATTGGATTGGAATGGGATGGGATGGAATTGGATCATGAGTTTAGCGTTTTCCTTACATGTAACGTACATTTGCTGCAAAAGCCTTTTGTACATGTCTTCGATGTAAACAGCAATCCAAGTGATTGTGCTTTATAGGGTTCTCGTTTTTGTTTAGCACTGCCAAACGCATCGTTGGGAGCTAACCGTTTTTCTTTTAAATTATGTAGTATCAAAACAGTAACATGGAATATTGTTATGTAACTAACTATAGTTAATTCTGTTTATAGTATGGAAAAGATAAGAGAAAGCCGCTAAATTAGCCCTGCCCTTAACAGCTTATTCCCAAACTCCAGCAAATAGTAATCCGCGTACACAAGCCCGTGATCCTTGTACTTTTGGTGCGCATGCTCATTCCAATTCGTCGTACTGTGTCGCAGTATTCCATCAAACGACGATTCCTTGACCACCACATCCCCTCCAGCCGCACCCCCATTCACCTTTCCCTCCCCCCGCACCTCAAACAACGCCAAATCCATATCATACGCATACTCAATTGTCTGCGCCACAATCTGCAACGCTATCTCCAGAAAATCAACTCCACCCGCCATCTCCGCCGCAGTCTTAGCATCCAACCCCTGCAGTGCTTGATGTATAATCAATAACCCATTCGCAGCAATCACTCCCGCAGACACATCTCGTAGGGGTCCCCTTTCACTATCCTGTTCTTCTTCTACTTCTCCCTTTACAATCGGAGCATCAAAATCCCACCTCGGCACCAACTCACACGTCCATTTCCCTTTCCCCTCTCCACACCTCCCCAGAAAATACCGTGCACACCCAATCGCCGTACTCAAAAACTTTACGTCTTTCGTCCACGCATACGTCTGCGCGAAACCCATTACAGACCAGGCCTGTCCGCGGCTCCAGGTCGATGCGTCGGCGTGGCCCTGATTCGTCATTTTGGACTGCACGAGACCCGTGCGTGGGGAGAAGTTGACGAGGTGGTAGGAGGAGTAGTCTTCGCGTAGGATTTCGTGGGTTATGCGGGTGGCGTGAGTGGTGGCTATGTGGGAGAGATGGGGGGAGGAGGTTGTGTGGGCGATGAAGTAGAGGAGGTCGAGATCTTTTTTTTTGGTCAGTTTCGTTGCAAACTAGGAGGGAAGGGGGACGTACTGCACATGCTGTCGATTATCACGAGAAAGTTTTCTTCCATGTCGGTGATGCTGTACCGATCGTTGATTGCGACGTCCCAACTCCGTATCGCCTGCACACGCTCATCGTACCTCGACGCGAGTGCCTCAGCAGCATTGATAACAGCAGCCAGACTCGCTTTGTTGCCGGTTAGTTCCCAGTCGCGCTGCAGGGCGGGTTGCACGATGAAGCCCATGTCGTGGGTGTCTGTTCGGCTGGACATTTGGGCAATGGCTATGCTGTAGTGGCGGCCGAGTTTCAAGAGATATTCTTGGATTGTCGGGCGTAACTGGGGGGGCAAAGACAGGACTTGTGGGTATTTCATGCTGCGCTCTAGCAGGGCGTAGATGCTGCCTGGGAAGAAACCACAGGTCCAGAAGAGGGCTTCGCGTTCTTCGTAGCGGCCGGCATTGGGTCCTGTTTGGGGAACTGTGTGGGGGTAGGAGGGTAAGGGGGCCTAGGGGTTTTTGTTAGATTGAGTGGTTTCCAAAGGGGAGTATTGAGTTGGTGGTTGGGGAAAGAGAGTTACGCAACTGGTTTCTTTAGGCCTCGTTGGGCTACTTGGATTATTTTGGCGAGGACGTTTTCCGAGAAGATAGCGCTGAGATCGATGTTTTTGATACTGGATATGACGGGTTAGAAGAGGTTACCATCAGCGTGAACAGAGTGTTTCTTACCTTGCGGCTGGGACATTCCCGTTGACTTCTTGCACAGCGTCACCCATTTTTTTCACTTATTGGTCAACACGGGCGAGCTGACTATGTCTGCGACAGGTGCAGTGGTGACGTCCTGGGAGTTTAGACGGCCTTTCAACGCGGTGATGTTCAAAATAGGTTGAACAATAGTTCCTGGGGTGCTGACTAGAGTTGAAAGAAACGCAACGGGGGAAATGCCAATAGAAGTAGCCTCATCAGGCACCAAACTCATATTTGTAGACGCGCGCATATTTTCGTGGCTTATTCCAACGACGTCGGGTTATCTCGTTCCAACAAAGTTGGGCTGATGACTAGTCATGGGATCTGCATTGTTCCGATGCCCGCATCCTGCCCGTTTACGACCAAGGTAATCCATCCGCTACAGGAACGTCACCGCAGTCGAAGTTTGCATCTTTCGTTTGCTACTGTTTTCGGTAAATGCTGGGACTTGCGATAATCCCTACTAGACTGGGCACGGCTATTGGTATACGTTCGGCATGTCTTGCTATGAAAAACGTCTGGGGCCCCTAGGCGTAACTTGACACACGGAATAATTAGTATGGCCACTATAAATTAAATTATCCCCAAATTACGGTTCGCCCAGAGACAGTATGTAAAAAGATAAGAGTGCCGCTGGGGGCCTGGTCAAATCCTTCGCATCTTCGTTCTCAAGATGTTTTTCTGTATCATCTGGGGACTCCTGTTGGGATCCTTGGCCACTGCTGTGCCGCAACACGAGTCGAAAAGGGCAGCCCCTACACTTCCATTATCCACCAAGGGCCGAGACATCATCGACGCCAAAGGAAATGTCTTCCACTTCATGTCGACGAATTGGCCAGGTCACCAAGAGATCATGATACCTGAAGGCCTTCAACACTCCTCCATCGAAAAAATTGTATCTTGGTTCCCAAAGCTCGGTCTTAATTCTGTGCGAATGCCATTTGCCATTGAGATGATCGATGACTACTTAGCAAACAGCCCAAATCAGACCTTAGAGAAGAGCGTCCTAAGAGCTATTCCTGGTACCAATGGGACGAATGTTCTAAGCTCTATTTTGAAAAACAATCCGCAATTCACCAAAAACACTACTAGACTGCAGGTTTGGGATGCTGTCGCTAAAGAGCTGGCGCGCCAAGGTATTGTTCTCCACCTTGACAACCACGTAAGCAAGGCTTTCTGGTGCTGCGGCGAGAACGATGGAAATGGGTGGTTTGGAGAAAGATACTTTGATGTTGAAAAATGGAAGCGAGGTTTGGCGTTCATCACGAAACACGCAAGTACATTCCACGGCCAACACTCTTGCTCAAAGCTAACAGACCCAGGCAAAGGAAAACTGGCCCACATTTTCCTCAATAGGTTTACGCAATGAGCTGCGGTCCGCTAAGGGCGCTGAGCCTGTAGACTGGTATACGTGGTACATCCACATGACGAGTGCTGCCAATGCCGTTCACCAAGCTGACCCAGATGCCCTGATATTCTTCTCCGGACTCTCCTACGATACCTATATCGACCCTATTCCACTCGGCAAGACGCTTAGTGGAACTGCTGGTACCTCTACTGCCAATAAGAAGGCCACGTTTATCCCAAGTGACTTTGCGTGGAAGAACAAGATTGTGCTAGAGATTCACAAGTACGACTTCGAGGGAACGAAAGACAACTGCCAGACGTTCAAGAGAAAATGGTACCAGAATGGATTCCAGGCGGTCAATGCCAGTGACCCAGCGACCAAGTACGTCTTTCCAATGGTCATTTCCGAATGGGGCTTCATCAACAACGGCGTTTACTGGAACCAAACAACATATGCCAAGTGTCTGGTGGAGATGGTCAAAGAGTACAAGGTTGGCTGGCAGCATTGGGAGCTTTGCGGTAGCTTCTACCTCCAAACGCGACCGAATAGGCAGCCCAACACACTTGTTGGGGCAGATGAAGCTTGGGGCATACTCAACTACAACTGGTCGGCTATCAGATCGCCCGTCACTCTTGAGAATAGTCTGTTCAAGATGATAGCCGCCTTGAAATAGGAGACAGTGTGTGGACTATGTTAGTATACTTCTAGTCGAACTTGTATCAAGTAGATTAATGTAGTTCAGTAAGACATGCCTGTATCTGGATAAACTCCTATCATGGTTTTAACCTAGTGACGTGATATGAAGCAAGGGATTGAGACAACGCAGTTCAAAGAGGGATCTTATCCTACTTGAATTCTCCATGTAGCTAGTGCCTGTATGGCGTCATGCATGCAAGCCAGCTTCTTTGCCAATTTTTCAGCCGACAAAGAAGGATTCAATATGCGTCATGTACAACGCACAGTTTCTTCACACAGCATCCTGTATCGAAATTTTCCTCCAGTGAATTTAGGCGAACAACGGGCCGAGGGATCTAGTCCCTCCGTAAAACCATACGCTACCTTCATGCCACGCTCGCCAAGCAGCTTTCTCACATAAGAGTCTGAGTTTCAATTCGCTACTCCACACTTTATCCGTCGCCATGCCAGCCTCCCGGCAGCTGGTGGCCGCCTGACGCAAGGGTGTTCCCGTCTCCGGTAGCAGATGCGAGATAACCGCGTACGGAGGACCCGTCCCCGCAGCAGCCATCCAAAAACAGGAATCACCCGGTGCCCGTTTTCCCAGATCCCCCACTCGATTCCCAGGTCTTTGTCCACAGCAGCGGGAGCTATTTATTAGACGAAATTCTGGGGTACGAGCTAATGTTTGCATCTCATCTCACAAGGGCCCCGTCTTTTTTGCACCCATCTCCCCGAAATCACACCGAGGTATATTGACCTCATCCATAACAACAACAACAGCGGTGACACTACGACAATAATGGCGGGTACGCAGCCTAAGAGCGAGACCGTTGGCGTCGCCGACAGGATAGACGAGTTCGATACTAGTGTCATTGCGCCAGCCGAGGCACCCAAGAGATCACCATGGAAAGCGTGGATGTACCTTTGGGAATGGTACCCTAAGCATTATCCGCCAGAAGAGAGAAAGCTTCTGAGGAAGATGGACGCATGCCTCTTGACTTTCTGCTCGTTCATGTGTATGTAACTTTGTCAGAATATTCCCAAATGCAAACTAAGAGCTGACACCTGCAGTCTTCCTGAAATGGCTCGACTCGTCAAACATCAAAAACGCCTACGTTTCCGGTATGAAAGAGGAGCTCGAACTGTATGGAAACGAGTATTCGCTCTTCGACACTTTCTACAACGTGGGGTACCTTGTCTTCCAGGTTCCTTCTTTGCTGCTCCTTTCTAGACCGAGAGTCGCAAAGTACTATCTGCCCACCATGGAAGTACTCTGGTCGATTGTGACTTTTTGCCAGAGTCAGATGCGCAGCAGAAACGATATATACGGTACTCGCTTCTTACTTGGTCTACTCGAAACTCCCGTGGCATCCGGTACGACGTACGTTTTGGGTTCTTGGTACAGGCCTGAAGAGGTGTTCAAGCGCACTGGAGTCTGGTACGTCTCTAACAATATTGCCGTCATGTTTGGTGGCTACCTACAAGCTGCAGCCTACAAGAATCTAAACGGGTGAGTTACTGAGCCTGTGACCTTTGAAAAAGCCCTATCCTAACGTTTGGTAGGGTCCATGGCATGGCTGGGTGGCGCTGGCTATTCATCATAGACGGGGTGATTTCCCTACCCATCGCTTTAGCCGGGTACCTGATTTTCCCCGGTCTTCCAAGTAGTAAGAAGCCATGGTGGCTCACGCCCAAAGAGCACGAATTAGCTCGGTCTCGCATGGTCAACGCAGGTGTGCAGCCCAGCAAAGAGCTAAGCTGGACCGTAGCCAAGCGCACATTCACACGCTGGGAATTCTACATGGGCATGCTCTGCTATACCTTGTACGTCTCCATCTCATTTACACCAGGCTCTATTTCCATTAACACCCAGAAACAGTTTCCTATCTTCGTCCTACCCCCACGGACAAATGGCCATCTGGCTTAAAGATCTCACGGCAAAGCACCCAGGCGCATACACTGTACCGCAGATCAACACCATCCCTACCGGTGCTCAGGGTGTTTCTGTGTTTGCCGCTCTACTCGCAACCTCACTTTGCATGGTGTACCCGCTCTGGTTCATTTTCTCCATTGTCCAAGCCATTTACATCATAGCAAACATTTCGCTCTTGGTCTGGAACATACCCAAGGGCTACCACTTTGCCTGCTATTACCTTCTTGGCGTATCAGCAGCGATAACACCCATACTCATGCCCTTTATCAACATGGCGCTGCGTGATGATGCTGAGGCACGTGCAGTGACCGTTGGCGCGATGCTGACTGCCGGGTGGGCGGTGTTTTCGTTTTATCCCATTACGGTATTTCCGATTGTCGATGGTCCGAGGTGGACGAAGGGGTATGCGGTTAATATTTGCTTTATTGTTGGGTGCTGGGCTACATTTCTAATTATGCAGTATTTGTATAAGATGAGTGAGAAGAGGAAGCAGGCACTTGTGGTTGGGGAGATTATGAAGAGTGATGAGGATATGGTGGGGGTGGACGTGTATGTCAAAGATGGGGCTGAGGTAGAGCATGGGGAGTTGAGGAAATAACGTGGTGGATTGTTCGATTAATGCGAGTTTAGCTTGGTGCTACCTGCGATTATCTAAGATAATGACGTTGCTGAATGAAGATCACGGTTTACTATTAACAATTAGATGTTGATACTTTCCACGCCTGGCATCTCTTACCAACTTCCAACATTTGTCAGGCTGCGAACAGCGACCACTGCCAGCGAGCACTCTACGAGCAGAGCATCACATCGAAAAACTTTCCCCGGAAAAATTCACTTCCCGCTCTCTCGTATTCCTCTCCTGATATCGTCAACATAACGCGGATCCACCTAAGCATGGAACGCTGTGGAACCTTGACATAGATGGCTTGACACGATTCACGCCCATTCTCCACACCGACACAACAATTACATATACCTGACCATGGGCAAATGCCCAATTCCGCATGACCAGCTTGGCCAAAAATGCCATGTTAAATCACAATGATGTCGACCTGTCGTAGCACAACCCCATCCAATCACACACCCCACAACACCCGGCCCTGCGGCTCCTCAGCCCCGCTTTATCGGGCATCTAGGACCCACTCTGAACCAACTACGCCGCAATCCAACTTTGGCGAAGCAAGATTTCTTGCATGAAAAAGGGTGCAGCGGGCTGCGCAGAATTTAGTTTGTTTGGAGTGTTTTGCCAATTGGGAGGCGCGCGTTTGTCGGGACTAGCCCTGCGTCGGGCAAGGGTTGGGTGCGAAATGGAATAGTAGTAGTAGTAGTAGTACCTTTGGGATTGCCCGCGGCTGCAAGGCACGATATTCTTTTTTTGCATTTGCAAGGCCAAGGGAAAGGGGAAGCATATGAGGCGCTATTACATCATGTTTTAATTGTCATGAGATGTACTTGTACATAGGTTCCTGGCAGTCCTGTTTCCTGGCTATTGTGGTGGCTTCGTATCTTTACTTTGTATATTCTTCATTCTTCCTATAAGGTCTTTTTCAACTGTTTCTCGAACGAGTAATACGAATAATGGCTGTTCTTCGCTCTTCAAATATGTTGATGCGCCGCTTTGCACGTCCGGTTCCGCCCGTATTCCGCATACGGCCGGTTACAGCGTCTCTTCAGCGGAGGATGTTTGCGTCTAATCTAGACGCGGATTTACCTCAGGTTCAACGCAACAAGGCTGAGAACGGAGGAGAAAAGAGACTTGGCCCTTTCGATCTTTCTGGAAAAGTCTTCGTCGTTACAGGTACAAAATGCCGTTCAATCTATAGAGCCCATGTGCATTTATGGTTGATGCTAAAATCCCGGCAGGCGGAGGTAATGGCCTAGGACTATGTATGGCAGAAGGTCTTGTAGAAGCTGGTGGCAGAGTCCACTGTCTCGATCAATTACCAGAGCCTTCTAAAGCATTTCAAGAAGCGCAAGCAAGAGCGAACAGCTCCAATGGTGCAGGTCTGGAATACCACACCGTCGACGTCACACACGACGAAGCCATCCAAAAATGTATCCAAGATATCGCAGATCAGAAACAAAGACTCGACGGCCTCATCGCAGGTAAGACATGATCCATACCCAGCGGTCACTACAAACCAACTAACTTTTTACACAGCCGCAGCAGTCCAACAAGTCACCCCAGCCCTCGACTTCCGCAAAGAAGACATTGCAAAAATGCTCGAAGTAAACTACACCGGCGTCTTCCTCACCGCCCGCGAATGCGCCCGCCAAATGCTGCGCTACAAAATCCAAGGCTCAATCTGCCTCGTCGCATCCATGAGCGGCACCATCGCAAACCGGGGTTTCCTCGCCCCCGTGTACAACTCCTCAAAAGCAGCAGTCGTCCAACTAGCACGCAACTTGGCTATGGAGTGGGGAAGGAAGAACGAAGACGGATCTGGTGGAATTCGAGTTAATTCGCTGAGTCCGGGGCATATTGTTACGCCGATGGTTCAGGCGAATTTTGACGCGGGCGAGGCAGATCCAAGGGAGTGGGAGAATAATAGTATGCTAGGACGGTTGAGTAAGCCGGAGGAATATAAGGCGGTAGGATTGTTTATGCTGAGTGGTGGGAGTAGTTATATGACGGGGCATGATTTGAAGATTGATGGGGGGACGACTGCTTGGTGAAAGGGTGGGGTTAGTTTGATGGCCTTGTGCATTTTGAGCGCTTTCTGCAATTATTCTGGGTTTTAGATGGTTGGCGATGTATTATTAGTCTTGATGTAACATGAAGTTTATTTCCTGTCGTACTCTGTACCATGGTGTAGCAGTATCCACGTGTTGTCGATGTCGAGGGTACCATCAGGGTGCATGGGCCCCACCAGCGCCTTTACCCGCATCGGCTCTAGTTTACAATCGGACTATCTGTCCTTCCGCGCTCCCCTTGCGACAGCTGTACAATTCCACGAGCGCCCTCTCAAGAGCAAGAGAGAGAGGCACAACAAAACGTCGGGCTTGCAAGCGCTGCAGCTCTCAACAAATCCCAGGACCCCAACCAATTCAACAATGGACCGGTTAGCACGCCTCGTCAGCTATCTGCTGCTTGCCCTTCTCCCTCTCACTGCGGCCCTCAAATTCGACCTTCATCCAGTAGCTGAGCGCGATTCTGCCCGATACGAGCGATGCATTAGGAATTTTGTTGCAAAAGAGCAGTTGGTGGTTGTTACGGCGATACTGGATGGGTACAGGGGAGATGGCCAGAGGGTTGATATGCATGTATGTTTTTTCTTGAATCCAGGCACGATACACGGGCTCAATTGCAATTTGACATCGCATACACACGAGCATTTTAGCAACGGGACATTTTGCTGACAAGGAAATCTTCTAGATCCGCGATGCAATGGGCAATGACTACCACCGCCCCAAGGACGTAGTAGGTGAGAACCGCTACGCATTCACCTCGCACGCCGACTCGGTCTTCGACGTCTGCTTCGCCAACGTCTTCACATCTGCCTCGTCGTCCAAGTCAATCAAGCCCCGCCATGTCGAACTCGACATTGACATTGGTGCCGACGCAAAGGACTGGAACGCCATCTCTGCCAGCGAGAAGCTCAAGCCCGTCGAGGCCGAACTGCGTAGGATCGAAGAGGTCGTTGGCGAGATTGTCAGGGAAATGGATTACCTGAGGTGGCGTGAGCAGAGGCTTAGGGATACGAATGAGAGTACCAATGAGAGAGTCAAGTGGTTTGCTGTTGGCACCATGGGCATGCTTGTTGGACTGGGTGCGTGGCAGATTATTTACCTTAGGGCGTATTTCAGGAGCAAGCACCTTATCTAGATGCATGTACGCATTGAGGGGTTGGAGGGAATGTGTGTACAAGAGGTTGCAGGGAAAGGGACAGAGGGTAAGGGCACGTGTATGAACAGCGTTATGGATTGCATACTTGGCAGGCAATGGCAATGAAGCGGCGTTGGGAGGGATATTATACCAAGAACAAAAATTCAAACTATGGTCATAATGGTTCTTTTCTAAGTGGTACCTGTTGGTGACCATGACTAGTTTCATCGCTTGGTCATATAGGGCCTCAACGGTATTTACAAACGTGTGAACCCTACAGACAAATGCGGTTTATCAAGTCGTTCACGAAAGCAGCAACAAATATACAAAAGACTGCCCCGATTTAGGCATCACTGGCTAAGTACACTGAACAACTACAAGGATTCACCAGCAGACGATATCTCAAAGGAGGCAGATATTCCAAACGAGTGACTTTATTCTATTTCTCATAATCATCATCGAAAAAATGAGCGTAATGCGTATGAATTTCCAGCGACCTGGAAGCAGGTCCTAGACTACATATACGCGATCGAAGCGAATGTGTGTTATATACAACAAGGTAGAAAAGAGTGTGGGTAGTGCAACGACGCACTGTTTTTTGTTGAAAGAGGGGAATGTGCTACTTCGGCAGAAAGAATAGAAGACTCGGTAGGTGTCAAGTATCTATCACACAGTCACATACTCGATGACGATGGACGTGATGACAGTCGTCTGGGGGTCCGCAGGAGCCGTAGGTGCTGGAGAGGGTTGAGGTGTAGTTGGTTGGTTTGCAGCTGAGGATGTAGCGATTGGTGTTTGAGTAGAAGATGTGGGCGAAGATGATACCACGGTAGACTGCACAGAAGAAGACGAAGCAGCCGCAGACGACACGGCCGAAGAATATGTAGGCACAGATGCTACAACCGACGAAGCCGCAGGCGCCGACGTAGCAGAAGTCCCGTTGTTTCCCACTGGCACACTGATTGGCCTCAACAACACATTGTCGGGCATCCGCCTTGGCACCTCTGAATTCTCAATCTCAGATACTAGCGTAGCATTCTTCCATACGAATTTCCCGGCAATGGCGTCATACTGGCCCGTCATCTGGCGATCGGGTAGTGTTGAATTCGTGCCGTCGGGACCCGGTCCATTATACACAGGGGGGTTCCCACTGATATCCGTGTTGTACTGCACGTTACCGTGCGAGATGGGGACTTGGGTGTCTGATTTAGGGATACTGACTGCGACGTTGCGGATAGTGACGTTGAGGCCTGGAGGGGGCTTGTTGCGTGGGATTTCGGTTAGGTCGAGGGCTTGGATGCGCCAGCTGAAGTTTTCCTTAAGGTAGGCTTCGACGGTTTCTTTTTTGAGATCTTTGAGTTGTCCAGATTTGTGCTTACGCATTAGGGCTTCTGAAAGCCCGATGTTGCCGGTTACGGTGAGAGCGGAGTTGGAGCGGGGAGAGGACATGGAGGCGAGTTGGCCGATGTAGTTGTCATCGGTTGGCCAGTCGACTGGGTTGAAGCTTGGTTCACCAAGGAAGGCGCGGACAGAATATGAGATGTGGATGTTGGCTGGCATGTTAACTTCGCAAGACCAATCGATAGCTGGTAGGGTAGCATTCGTGCCCACTGGAGCTGGCAAGGTGGTGTTTCCAGATTGGGTTGAGTTGCTAATTGGCAGAGCGGGAGTCTGTGGCTTATACAACTGGTTTATAGTAGATGTGAGTGTCTTATTGCTTGGGTTACCAACAAGCTCGGGGTAGGTGTAGCCAAAGGCAGTCCAGTCGCGTGACGTGGTAGACGTCCACATATCGCCTAGAGCATTCATGTGGAATGGTGGCAGAGGGGAGGCTGCCCCTATAACACTACCTCTGGCAATAGCAAAAGTTCCTCGATCTTGTTTGGAATCTTCGACAAAGGTATCAGGGTAGCGAGCCTGGAACAGCGCCAGAAGTCGATCAACGTTGCTGGACTTTGTCAGAATGAGTTTTTGTTTTCTCCAAGTAATGTGACATACCAGTGATGGAACCAGAAGACAGGATCAAATGCAGATACTTCTGTAATTCCCATATGTCCCAGTCCAAAGACATTGTGTACACCGTCATGGACGCTTTCAAAGTTGCCAATACTACCACCATTGGCCCTGTTGCTCACTTGGTTATACGGTTGGTAAGTCGTGAGTAGTTTATAGATGGTATCACGAATACTATCCTGCTGCTTGCCTATTACCACGTTGACATCATCGTCACGACTAGTAGCATTGGCGAAGTAAGGGTTGAGTGGGTAGCGGATAGTATGGTTCCAGTCCTTGAATTCATACTCGACCTGGAATACCGTTAGTATTTTGCATGTATTTACAAGGTAATTTCTGCCCTTTATCAAATAGAGCAATAAGGTCACATACCAGTTCAGCAAAGATATTTTGGGGCACCGGATTGAAATCGTATCGGAAGAGGGGATTCGGGATTTCTCCCACAGTCCCATCAGGATGTATGACTGAAAGACGTGGAACCCGCAAAGTCGCCGGTATCACACCTTCATCTGATTTCAACGGCTTCCTCGCCCAGTCCCAGAATGGAAGGCGTACTCGAGCCGCGATTTTCAAAGCTTTGTTACGAGCCTGGCCAATAGGATATTCTTTGGCAACGTCGACTGCGCGGTCGTGAAGAATCTGCTCAAACAGCGCGAGGTACGGACGGTGCCATGTGCCAAAGATGCTAGATGAATGGGGGCAGTACCCCATCTTCTCTTGGCCAGGAATACCTTTGACGTTGTCCCACTGTCCAAAAGGTACTCCGTGTATCCCTGGAAATGTTCAGAAAAGATGAGTTTTGTTAAAGCTGACATGTTTCCTACCAGCGATTTCATAGTACGAAGTCTTCTGAGTCTGGTCCATAGCCTGGAACCGAGCAAACGCAAGTATAAACATATTCCAAAGCTCAGCATCTTGCTGAAGCTCCCGGAGTTCCAACCGTGGATGCACTCCAGTCCCCTGCACCCCGACAACGCTGAAGTAACTGTCATCTGGCTTTGGGGCACTACAAGAAGGCCCATCAGTGTGGTTAGATGCAGCGTGTGTGCTGCTCAGAAAAGAAACGAAGGCAATGGACCCAGCGACAAGAGAAACGAATGATTTCATCGTGGCCAGCCGAGAAAGAATGGAAAGATCTTCAAGATCAAAACAACGAATGTAGTGTGAAAGAGTGAATGTCACTGGGACCAAAAGAAGGACTGAGCAAGCAGCGCTGCGGTGCACATTTGGAAAATGATACCATTGACTATATAGAAGCTTTGTGAGATTAACGGTCTACGGTGCAACTCGCTCCCCACCCGCACATGTATGACGTCCTAGGCTGTGCAATGGTTACTTTATGCGTTACTGCTTTTCGAGACTGCTGATTTGACGACTCCCCGGAGGAAGTGTAATCTCCTTCTAGGGATCCTAGAGGGCCGTTGTGGGGGAGTGTATGCTCGAAACATGTTTGGTTTCTTTGCATGAATAAACAGGCTCTAATGGCATGGCTGACAGCCCACTTGCAGGGCTGGTCAGAATGGCCGCGGCAGAAGCAATGTTTCCAAGACGCTGGAAAGCTTGGGTTGATAGCGGGGTAGTAATTTGGGGTCGCTAGGTTCAGTCTCTATTGCCAGGGTTCGGAGGCTTGCAGATGGTCGAAGCCTCTTTGATCCGAGAGAGGCCATAGTACATAATTGGTTCACATGATGCCTTATGTTAATATCTTCGATGGAAGCTATACAAGACGGTTGGTGGTGCCGTCCGGGAGGTACCGTGGTGTTGCCAACACGGAGATGACAGGTGCTTGGCACGGACCACCATGCCATGGTGAGACACTTCTGAGGATGGAGTGGACAGCCATTGTAGACATCCCGTACATCCTCGATCTGGTTGGTTGGTTTGATATGGCCTTTACACTGAGCTATCGGCACGTGTTGATTGCTAACGATAAGGACTGCCAGGTCTTGGCAGCTATGCGTTCTTCTCCACAAGCGGTGATGTAACGCTTTTAAGGACAACCTATCCTGGCTAGCTTTCTTGATTGATCTCAACTTTGCAATCAAGGTCGAGCGGGAGATAGCATCGGGAGCGCCTGGCAAGACTGGTACATAGGCATTCGTGGTTATTAATGTACTCACAAGGGGCCATAGCCATTCCTTCATGCACGATCTCGAGTCGTTCTTTTGGGTTTTCTTCTGGTTGTGCGTCCATTATGATGGGCCAGGCAAACCCACTATGTCGAGGGCATCTGAGCACTGGAATTACATTGACACAGTATCGTTGAGTGATATGAAGCTGGGCTTTGTTAGTGACAAGGATCGTTTTTGCGATCGCATTCACAAAGAATTTACAGAACACTGTTAGCCACTGGTTGATTTTATCTGTGTACTGCGAACAGTAGTCTTCCCAGATGTCAAACTATGGAAAACAGAAGATGAAATTCCCTATCGCCGGCCATCTCTTACCTACTCTTGTTTCCGAACACTTGGCATCTAGCACTAATATAATGACCAAGAAGCGAAAGGCAAAAGCTTGATAATGAGATGGAAAATACACTTTGAACCTTGGGGAAATTTTCAGGCTTGTAAAACAAAGAAACAGATAACACACGCCAGGCGACTAGGGCTTGGAGGCACGAGATACACGAACGCTTCATCGACAAGGTCGAGGATGGAGTACGGGCCCAGATTAAGAGGACCACCTCTGGACCTGGAAAGAAAATTAAATAACTAAGTCCCCTTACGCAAAACCACAAGCAAATGATCAGCAGAATTCAACGTTTCCACGCGATCCGCACTCAGCATCACCACATCAACCCACCACTTCATCTCCGCCTCATCCAAAGCCGCAAACCCCTTTGCGCCCCCCGATCCAAGAAACCCCTCACAACTCAAGATCTTCTCAACATCGACTTGCTCCCGGAAAGCGGCAAACTCTTTCGAGAGATCTGCAGGCTGTACATGGAAAGACGTGGTGGCTAGGTTTCGCGTGTACGCTCCGCTATGCAGATACTGGCTGTAAAACTGCCACTCACGCGCAAAACGCGAGGGCTCACGGCTCGCTAGATCGCGAAGGTGGGCGTATATTGTCACGTATGCGAGTAGGATGTAACCTCCGGATTTGGCCAGCAAGATACAGTTTTGGATCACGCTTGCGCGCTCCGCAGGCGCGATGAGGTGGTACAATGGGCCGAGACATAGCATGATATCAAACGAGCCATGGGCAGCTTTGAGGAGGGCGTGCTGTGAGATACCGAGTGCGTTTGTGTGGATGATGGCATTGAGCTGGACAGCTTCTTTCTCTGCATTCCTTCTTGCAATGTTCAAGCTCTTCTCGGACAAATCACTCAGGGTGACTTGGTGACCTTGTTTTGCTAGTGTAATGGCTTTTCTATCTCCGTTAGCCATGACATTCAAGATGGTTTCGTAACAGGGCGTTGCAGACCATATCTGCCAGGTCCACCACCAACGACTAAAATGTTCGCTTTGTACAAACCCAACATAGACAAGCAGGAATCGATAGTCCGCTTGGTCACTTCCAACTCCAGTCGCCCTTCGTCCAAGCGGTGCTCCTCGACTTCGGTGTGTGCATCGTACCACTTTTCAACCAGAGTTTTTCCTTCCATCGTTTTTCCTCGCCGTTGATGATCGGTATCTCTCAATAAACTGTTAGATTTCATTTGTGAAGATACTTACGTGCGTGCAACACATTCTTCATGGGACCGCTTAGATAAATCTCTTACTGCGCGATTAAACACCTGGTTGAGGCTTTTATCAGTTGTGGTCGGAATAGCATTCCGATAATTTACGCAAATCACGCGGCTTATCGTCGGTAGATGGCATTGTAAATACGACACGATAGCATGAGTGTCTTAGTGCAGGAGGTGGGGGTGGGGTGAGGGGAGAACCAAGAGTGTCTGCTGCAAAAAAAGGCTGAGGCAGTTCAGGAATAATTAGAATGTCAAATTTTGTAGAATATTTGCGGCAAGGCGAGGTTTTGTGTGACCTATGAATGAACGTAACTGGGTGACAAAATAAGAATTCGGATTGAACCTGGGCAGTAAAATCCAACTCCCTAACATTTTAAAAGACAGGACTAATCGTAACCATCATCATACTCATCAAGCGGCAAGTAAGGAACCTCCAAGCACATCCAACACCCTAAAACGCCCATCTCTACAAGCACCTCTCTCACCTCCGTCCATAAGCCCCACCCTCTTCCCTCCTCTCTGTTCTCTTAAATCCCAAACTCCCCGCCTTCCTCGCCTTCCTAACCGTGGTGTCCTCACCCGCATCATTCTCAGCATTCAGCACCCTTCTAACACCATAAATCATTTCCCGCTCCTGATCATCGTCAAAATGTTTGCGATCGAACTCGCTTTCGCGGCTAAACAGCGCCATCATATCCTTCATGGTGAGGTTCTTGATAGCTTTACCACCTTCAATGGCGGCATTGGCGAGCTTGCGTTTTGCTTCTTGGAGCTCGAGGATGCGTTCTTCGACCGAGTTGTGGATGCTGAGGCGGTAGACAGTTACATCGACGGTTTGGTTGAGGCGGTGGACACGGTCGATTGCTTGTTCTTCAACGAACTATTGCGAAGTTAGTACAATGGGATTTGGGGAGGAGGGTAAGGTAGGATAAACGTACAGGGTTCCAGAAGGGCTCCATGATGACTACACGGCTTGCGGCTGTGAGGTTGAGACCAAGACTACCGCATTTCAAACTACATAGCAGGACGCGTGTGCGCTTATCTTCTCGGAGCTTTTGCAGACTGACTTCGCGGAGGTCGTTGCGCATGCTGCCATCATAACGGGTGAAGTTGTAGCCGGCGCGGTTGAGAAAAGGCTCAATCAGGTCAAGCATTGAGGTGAACTGCGAGAAGACAATGACCTTGTGCTCATCCGTCTCCTTCTCTAGAATTGCTAATAGCTGTCGGATCTTGGTCGAGGGTGTCAGCTCGGAAGCATTGTATGAGGACTCTGAGGTTTCAGAATCCGATGCGTCCTCCTCATCATCTGATTCGGAGTTAGATCCCGACTCATCTGATCCGCTCTCGCTCTCGGTTTCGCTGCCAGCCTCGTCCTCAGAGTCGACTGCAATAGGCTTCTGTGGTCTCTTGGCCAGTTTCTTGCGTGAAACAGGTGCTTCGTCTTCGCTGTCGGTATCGTGGACGATGAACGAATCCAAATTGCTTCTGCTCTCGTCTACACTCTCAGATCCATCAGAGTCGACAGATGCCAACGTGTCACCACCGCCTTCAGCGTTCTCGTCGTCAGTTCCACCAGCCTTGCCCAAGTCTTCGGCGTGCCGTTGGTCTTCAGGGACAAGCCACTCGCCCTCTTCTTCTTCATCGTCACTATCGACTACAAGTCGGCGGTTGCGAGCTGATTTTGCGGCGGCTGCCTTTGGCTTCTCGTCTTCATCCTCAGTCTCCTCTTCCTCTTCCTCTTCCTCTTTATTATCATCATCAGATTCAATAATCCGTTTTGGTCGACGATGCTTCTTCTTATCCTTGCCGTTCTTGTGCTTGTGCTTACGGTGCTTTTTCTTATCCTTCTTTGTAGACATATTCAAGTCCTCTTCACATTCAATGCAACGCACTCCACCTGCAGCAGTGTTGTCGCTATTAAGGTGGTTTTTGCAGATATCGCATCGCTTCGTTGCAACACTGAGCCCGCCAAGCAAGTCTGCAAGATCGTCGGCGTCGTCTCTTGCAGAAGGTTTTCGTGGAGTCTGGAAACCAGTCGTAGCACTCGACTTTGAGCCCGTGGTCAAGGCGTCCTTGTCAGCCCTGACATTGCTCTTTGTCAGGTTAGGGTGATCACACGCTTGTCGCAACCGGAGAAGCAACACCAACGCTCCAATGTAATCTTGCTTCTCGCCGCCCATCATCTCGTCAAGACGGGCCTGTGTGCGATCCCGCAGGCGGTCGTAGAACATGCGCTCCTTTGCAGTAAACTCTCCTACGACGTTTTCGATGTTTCGCGCAACGATATGGAAAGCTGGCTTGTCTTCACCCTCCTTGGGTTTTCCGCCAAAATTGAGCGCACCTTCCTTTCTCAGCACATCCTTGGTGCGGCGTTTCATGAAAGCCCGTAGAAAGACTTGGAGACGCTTCATAGCCAGATTACCACGACCGTTCTTCATTGGACCCGCTATTGAGTCCTTCCATGATGACAGCTCGCAGTAGGGTTGGATACGGAGGAATCTGATCAAGCTCTGCAGTTCGTCAATGTTGTTTTGCATTGGCGTACCAGTCAGACACCAGCGATAATGAGAGTTGACAGCATAGCAGGCCTTTGTCATCTTGGCGTTCCGATTCTTGATGGTATGTGCCTCATCCAGCATCATCCGGTACCAGTTCACAGCGAAACAGCCCTTCTTGAGCCCATCTGGACCGTCTCCACAAGAAGCATGCTCAGAGGCGAGGACTTGGTATGTTGTAATAACGACATCATATTGGTTGAGCTTATCGGCTGACTTTGTACGGTTGGGGCCATGGTGGACAAGAACCTTGAGTGCGTGGGACTTTGTAACCTTGGTATTGATTTCGGATTCCCATTGCTTGATGAGTGCGAGGGGAGCGACGACGAGCGTACCCTTGCCTGTGGAGTCCAAGATCTTGTTCTTCTTGTTCTCTGGTTCAACGCCTTTTTCTGGTCGCGGATTTGACAGTAGGAGCGCAAGAGACTGCACAGTCTTTCCGAGACCCATGTCATCTGCCAGTATACCACCCTTGGGAAGCTTGGCTTTCTTGTTATGGTTGCCTGTTTCCTTCTCGATCATCCATGCAACTCCATCAACTTGATGTGGCAGGAGTTTGACTTTGAGGCCTTCGACGGTCCCGTCGTCCTCTTCTTCTTCTCCGGGGCCGGCTTCAGTTTCGGGCTTGGTCTCTTCGTCTTTTACTTCGAGTGCTTTGAGCCGGTCGGCTAGGGAGTCGGCTGGCTAGGATTAGCGACACAGATTATTTAACAGAATGTGTAATGTCACATACCAGCTTTGTCCTCTTGCCGCTTCTTCGTCTTACGAAGACGCATCCTTGGGATCTTCTCATTGTCTTCATCAAACGCTCCCTCTAACAGCGCCTTGATATTTTCGCTTGCCGCGCCGGAGTCGACATATGCATACATGTCGGGTTCACCGAAGCGACTACTCTCTTTGCGAATAACCGCATCCGGATCAAAGTCATCTTCATCATCCAATATGACCGTCTTACGTGCCTCCTGCAGCGGATTGTGTGTGCCCTTGTTCAATGGTTGAAAGTCATCAACGTGGCCCATGGACGAGTATACCGGCCGCGGTGCTGCATGAGTAGTCTTCGCCGGAGCGTTGTAGGGTCTAGCAATGGGTACGGGACCGCCTTGGGATGGCCGGGGCTGGAAGCTTGAAGCAGGAATCTCAAAGACATCGGAATCAGTAGACGCTGTGCTGTAACGCGATCCCGATTGTGACGAGGGGACCTTGAATGGGCGATTGAGGGTGTCTATACTCGACTGCGAGGTCTGAGATGGCCTTGGTGGACCCGAATATTGTGAGGGTAATTTAGTCGTCTGACTGTGTTCTGGTCGCATCTGCCCTGGCTTGGGCTTATTGAAGAGATGTGAAAACTGTTCGTTGCGGTCTTTCTTCAGTGGGTTCCGCATGGGACTAGTCTCTCCAAATTTCGGCTGTGAGTTCTTGAGGTCATTCAGAGGCTTTGGCGGGGGGACTGCTCCATCGCGGGGAGGATGAGCCATCGGAGGCTCTCGTTCTCGCACCATCTTCAGCCTGGCCTGGAGAGTTTCTCGCTGCTGTGCGTGGGTCGGGGGACTCTCAATGTCGTCGAAAAGAGTGCTTGAGTCGCCGAGCAAAGAAGTAGACTGCTCGCGGGGGATATCGCTATCGTCGGAGAAGCCAGGCGTAGCAGGGGTGGTAGGGGCTTTGAAGACGGGCTTTTTGGCGGTGGAGAAGGTGTCGAGTGGTCGAAAAGGCGCACGGTGTTTGCGCGGACTGCCGGTCATGGACTAGCCCAGTCTGCAGCCCTTGGAGACAAATGTATACTCACTATGTGTGTGGATATATGTTTCTATCCCCAAGTGGTTTGGCGGGGTTGTTGACAAGATCGCTGTAACTAACAAACCCCTCGCAGCCTAACAAGGCTTGGCGTGCGTTGCCGGGGCACACCGCGACCCACCCAATTACACGTGGGGGCGCGTCCACCATGTCACGCTGTCACGAGATCTGCTAGGTCACGGTCCATTCATTCCACTACTACCTATATACACACCCCAATACTTCTACATCTACAAACGTCACATCACATCAGATAAACATTACTTAATTCCCACTCCCCTCTTACTTAATCTCGTTCAGTCCTGACTATTACACTGCTCCGGCCTCGACATCGTAATCCTTGTGTAGACCAGATGATCCTGATTAATGAACCCCACCGCTTTTTCCCTAATACAATCACTCGCCTCCTGACCAAAGCAGCGAAACGTTGTCTGAGCACTTTGCGTGCCACCCACAGGCTTGGTATCTTCCTGGTAAATCTCTGTGCGTGTATGCCGGAACCCCATGGACTCGAACGGTAGATTCGGCACGCCATCAACCCCATGCGTGATACGCAGCAATTCGCCCAGGTTGTCGTCGCTAGCGCCAGCCAGGCGGTCAGTGAAATTGGCATATGCTGGGTTTCCCACGCGCAGAGACCCCAAGGTGTATGCTTTTGCAATGGGAACGCCATTAGCCCGGAGATCCGTATAAGCCAGACTGGCTAGTCCACCGCCTAGACTGTGGCCTACGATGACTGTTTTGTAACCCGGCAATTTTGCATTCAATTCCGCCAGTGCGGCTGTGAGATCAGGTTGCACGGAGCGCCAGGCTCCGAGTAGACCCCCATGGACCTGGCAATCGGTGCAGCCTGGGGCGCTGGTGAAGGGCTTCATGAAATAGGCAAAGTCGGTGATGAAATCCTGGAGTGAGGCGGAGCCCGGGAAGGACACAATCAGTTCTTTTGCCGCATCATCCTGGAATATAGCGACCTGGGTTGAGGTTAAGATTGCATCTATTGTTCGGACAAGAACGGAGTGAAAAGGTGGACTAGGGCATTTTCCTTGGTTATAAGTAAAGGCTGAGAGAGAAGCTACAGCGAACCGTGTGTAGCGTTGAAGAGCCGGATAGAGTTCCGGTTGGACTATCGCTTACAGTTAGCAGCAAAGAAAATACATGGATGATATAGTCTTGATTTATGACTTACTGAGCTCTCGTGGTCTGGTCTGGCGAGTTGTAAGTTCGGAGGCTGGTGTAGGGGCCGCCTGAATTAGAGGTGCTGTAAGAGCTACGAGAACGATTGGGAGCTTCATGATGGTTGTGCAAGGGATAGAAGACAAACTGAATGAACGTAGCAAGAGATCCAGATGAGGATCGTGATTCCTCTGGGAGGAGGCATCCTTTTGTCTTTTCTTTTAGATACCTAACTCCTTTAGCCAGGTCGATCGGTAGGCAATCTGGATCGTAGAGGATGCCGAGCAAGTGTGGCCGTGTCCGATGGGCATCAATCTCACTACATATCTACACTGCTAACAACTAGAAAAGAACTCTTCTTCGTTTTGGAGCAAAGGAAGAGCATGGCCTAATGCCGGCAAAACCGGGCGCTAATAGACTGTAGCGTCAAGAAAGTGAACGTTTGTGTTCTCCTCTCGGTCAAGCATGGGTTCTGGAAACGCCACAATATTCCATTTGTGGCGAGATTGTAGCCTTGTCGATCTTGTCTAGGCCATGACAACGGCTTGCATCGTATTTACAGCCAGGATCGCTTCGGCGAAGTGGATTGATATTAACCCCACATCATCAGTCGCACAAACGATCCCTTCACGCTTGCCTTGATACTCAAACTCTCGCTGTTTGTAAACAAATTTACATTGAGATCTTCTCGATCGTGCGTAGTGCACAAAGACCCTAACATGCTTACCGAAACTCGCACGGGTTACAAAGCGGTCGATCAATGATCAGAGCATAAGGAGTCGAGATACAGATTGACTCGTGCCTCATAAGTAATACGAGAAATACGAGTTCCACCCGATGTGACGGGAATTTGAAATTGCTTGACGCAACAAGCAGTGTAGTTTCTAGCACAAAATACCATGTGAGACATTCACAAGAGCTGAAAACACATTACATTACTTCTATGCAATAAATGGCCTTGTATATGCGATTGAAACAAACAAAAAAAAGCTCTTGAAATGGCAGAGTACTAAGGCCCTTTTTACCTCAGTCTGTCTCTATTCCGTCCTTCGTCTCGCCTCGTGACGAGGAACCACAGACTGCTGATCCAACAAAGTACCACTCCCAACCAAGTTTGTGCAGGGGCCTTGAAGAGTGAAATGGCCACAAGCTGGAAGGCGCTCCTGGGGACGGCTACAAAGGTTGCCGTAAGCGGAGATGTTGCCTTGACTAGCAGCAGTGTACTTGAGAAAACAGCCCACGAGCCCATGCCGCCAAACAGCATCATGGCCCAGAAAAACGGGACATCGAGGAACGGAATATTGTGCCATATATGTGGAACCTCACCAGAAAGAATGACAATGGGTGTAAGGATCATGAGAGAGACAATTGAAGTGTAGTGCAGTGTGCGATAAAATGCGCGGGTTTCTTCTCGGTTACCCGACTCTTCCGAGCCGGTGGGGTATCCTGTAAGCACATCGCCCGAAGGCACAAGATTTGCAACCATGGTACGGTACGTGCGGAGAAGGAGGATGGGGTAGAGGGCGACAAAGCCAGAAGAGAAGACGCCGGCGACGACCGACTCCCAAGTCACACGGACATCGGGGCGGTAAGAAGCGAAGAAGAGGTTAAGGGTCGCAATGAGGGCAGAAGAGAGGGCACTGCCGGTGATGTTTTCTTTCTGCAGAACACAAGCGAAGATAATTGCGAGTGGGGTTATGCCGATGCGAGCAAGCTGGTAGGTCGGAAGTGGTGCATATCTGATAGATGTTAGTGGTCGAGATCAAAATAGACAAACAAGGGCACCTACGCAAATGAGTAGTTACTGAGAAGCACCCTGGCCACAAAGACCACCGCAAGGGGCAGCACCTGCTTCGCGATTTGCAGGTCAAACTCAAACAGCCCACCACCTGCAATGCCTCCCGAGCCATTCGAGAGCCAGCGAGCAAAGGCGGAGATGCCGGGTTTTTTACCGCCTCGATATGCTCCTCCTTGTGGGGCGGCCGGCTGTGATGGCGGTACAGCAGCACCAAAGCCAATGAAGCGCAGGGGATTACTGGAGAAGCGCAATAGGCTCGAGACGAGGATGAGGAGAAGGTGGGTGATGATGAGTTGTGCGTAAGATTGGGTCAGGGGAAAGGGGAATCTGCTTTGATTAGCATGTGCCACAAGCAACAATCCGTGTGAATCCTTACTTATAGACGCCCGTGAGCATGATGAAGCGATTCATGAGCAGCAGGCCAAAGCTGCATCCGCCGACCCAGAAGACCAGAAGTCCAACCCAGATCTGCCAGCCCTTCCATGTGCCAAAAAAGAAGGCCCCCGGGCCGCCCTGCTGCCAGAAGCCACGAAAAGCATGGCCTCCACTCCCGACGTCGCTGCTGACTAGCGGCCGTATACTGCTTACGGGCTCGAAGTCGTCGTCTTCTTCATCTTCGCTCTGTGCGGCGCTGCGATTGCGCGGATATGGGCTGTTGCTGCGGCTGCCTACGTCTATGAGGGGCACGGGCGGCTGCAGCTCCGACTGCGAGTTGTGCGCAGAGTGACTCCGCCTCGAGGGCTCCATTTGGGCGTAGAACTCGACGTCGGAGTGGTCGGTGTCGTCTATGGAGCTGATGCTATTGTAGCGTTGGTGTGCGTTGCTGTCCTTTCTCTTTTTGTCCCTGGGTAGTTGGACGGGGCCGCGCGAAAGGTTGCTGAGGAAATCGAGCGGCTTGCGGAATGTGTTTTGGGTAGCCCTGGTGAATGCACGCGACGAATTCATCGTGACGGCTTCATTGCGAGGATCAAAGGGAGCAACTGCATGCTGACGACGTCTGTAAGTTTGCAAAAGTTGAGCACAGGCAGGGACGAGGCCGGCGCTGGCAACCTGGACCCTGGCCTAGCCTAGGGGCATGGTGGGTCCACATCGACTACTACTACTACTGTGTACGGTACTCCAACGTCTCTCACATCACCATCAGTATCAACATTGACATAAACATCAACACCATGCTCCTGCAGTCTAATACCGCCCACTCAACATGTCATGGCTGTCAGCTCAGTCAAAGAATTGACTGCGTTGAGAGATTGTTCCGCTGGCCCATGGGGAGGACTCAGGTTGTCTCGTCAAGCGCTCCAACGAAGCATTTGAGTACCTTCATGATTAGAAGAAAACTACCTTTCGTATACTATATGAAGAGCGAGAGGCTGAGGGGAAGGGGGGTTTTGCTTTCCATGAATGCCCAGTACTCACCAAACTGGCCTCAGACGTTGCACTGTGTAGACCACGACTTGAGACAACGGGCAGCAGTCATCAGCTTGGGAGGCAGCGCAATATCAGCACTCATAGTGCAATCGGCGCTGCTGTTTACTCATCTCGTGGCTTTGACTGTGCATCGTTTATAGATGTCATCAGACTCACATGTAATGCCCAGAAATCAGGATCGATTGCGACATCCAAAACAATAGATACACGACGAATGCGGAAGGTAGACGGATGTTGCCAATGTTGTCAGCGCCTTGTTCTTCCTTTTCTGTGATGGTTTATGCTAACACTGCTGTCGCTGTACGCGCTCTACTGAACAAGCAAACCACATGCAGCATTCCGTTTGTCCAGCGCCAAAGGATCCAGAAACCCAAAGCAGGACAGGAAGGAGATGCAAGGCTGATCCGCAGCAAGGAACAGGCGCACCTAGCCGTATCCCGTGGAAGAGTGGGGGTGGGGCTGACAAGACGATAACGGGCCTATTTTTGTACTAAAGCCATCACTTCTCTCAAGGTTTATCGCTGTCGTATGCAAGTCTTGGAGCTGCGAAGTAGGGTTACATTCTTCTATTTATCTGTGGTCGCCCGAACCTATTGCCCATTGAAGTCAAATGGCCGCTATTGAATTTGTTAGCTGGCTGATGTGGTTGTGCAGCTTCTTCGTCCATGATTCTCAGTGCATGGAACGGGCCGCCTACCGTGAGGCTGCTTATGTTGCAGTACGTATCTTAGACTAATTTCTCACGTTGATACTACTTACAGCTACTAGCCCATTACTCGCAGCAATCAAGAATAGGTTCCTGAATGAGCCCTGAACTCTTACCTCGCAGTGTATGTCCGAACAATCCGCCGTTCTAACTGAAAGTCGTACTATTGAAAAAAATCATGGTTCTCGCGTGTTAGAAATCTAGAATCTGCTCAAGAAGATCCTTAGCCTACACTATCTTGTGCACAAGCATATCAGGAAGGTGGTCCAAAGAGTCGGGCGCGGTGTTGGAAAAAGCATCTATTGAATGCTTGGGACGAATCAAGCCGCGCAAGTGCTCCTATCAGTCACTACACCATTATCTGTACCTGCATCCTATTCTGTACAGTTAGGTACTCCCGTTTTTAAGGAAAGTAGGTCGAGTAGGGAGGCTTGGAGCGGATCCACGCCCACCCCAGGTTATGCAGCTGAGTATAGAGGGCAGCAATACAATGGCGAAGCTGAACCGACGTAAGCGCTGAGTGCGATTACGTGCTTGGCAGTAGCGGGCGTTGGACAGCCAGGGAAGGTCCTTCGACCCAAAAGTGTGGATCGCCGCAGGGTCTTAGATATGAGTCGATCACGGGAGATCCTACGCCGGACACTAAAACATGAGTGCAAGTGACTAGCACACCAGTGTACCGCTCACAAGTCTTTTGCCCGGTGTTTGCTGACCGCACGTTGGAATTCCAAAGTCTCAGAATCATCCATCACAAAGCACAAGGCGAGCAGCGCAAATCTTCTTCTTCCGCATGGATCCGTCACGAGGCTGTTGCACATGGTAGAACAGCTGTATCAGTCTGCTTGCCTCTCCAGTGCGTGAGATGCGGGGTGGTTAGCCACAAATACCAATTCGATGCGCAACTCCGGTTTGAACATGGGTAGCTTATTGACAAGCCGGTAGGCTACCGTATAGGCGACGTTACTTGCATGGCGCCAACAGACTTGAATCATAGCCTACTGCAGTTGTGTGCTCCGTCGATATGCATACTGCTGTACCTTAAGAGGACTTGAATTAGGAAAACCGCCGTTGTATGAGAACTCAAAGATATGACTATACACGCCCTGGTCTGGGGGCGAAGATCAGAAAGTAGAGCCGTTGGTGTGTCAAGTTGACGTCGGATGGTAGTGCAGTGACGGGTCCAAATGCCGAAAAGTTACCCAAGCCGGACACAGAACACGTGCACGCCGTACCTACTGAGCTCGGCACCGACATTGTTCCGCATCTTGCCGCCATGGCCATCTCTCCTACACCTACCTCTCCATCTCTACACCCTTTGCCTTATTCAGCCTTACCAGCGACAAATACAGGCTACAGGTCGCTCTGGTCATCGGGGTATTTTACGCAAGAGGCAGGAGGAGCTTGGCAAAAGTGAACAGTCTCCGGAGGCGTCGTGATCGACACCATGAACTGACACCATCTCGCCCAAAACTCGCGCATGTCTGAGCAATGGGCGAGACTTGAAGCACCATGACTCCGACGCACTCTTCCGAAATGCTTCTTCCAGCTCCACTGTGCATGTTCCTTTCAAGGTGCACCCCTGCAATGCAACACAATAAACCCAGCCTGCACACCAGGCGCGTGTGTGTAATGCCAAATCTGCGCGCCATCTTGATCATCACCTTTTACCTCGATACAGCCATTGCCTGCCGTATCTTGCCTCGTTGGTGGCACTCGCCCTCAATCTGCTGCCGCCTTATCTGCCATGTCACTAAAGGTTGGGCTGGGTATATCGGCATGCATCGTGCTAGTTCCCAAAGAAGGAGGTGGTTTCTGCACTTGTGTGCTTTTAAGCTTAATGCTAAGCGGGTCTTGGATGGTCAGCGGACAAAGACGATATGACTGCACACGACACCAATCGAATCCCGCACCACAACAAGTGGCCCAGAAATTCGAAGAAAGTGTGCCATCGTCCTTAACATCTTGCCCGACGCTTCTGTCATTCGTTCGCTGCCTATCATTAGAACGGTCATGTGAATGTCGTTATCCCTGTGGGTAGGGCTCCACCGATTGTGTGCTCACACATGATGCTTCTCTGCGCAGCATGCTCTTCTAGAGCCCTGTCGCTCTTGGAACTGTTAGCAGGTATCACTCTATTTCAAATCATCGGCTTCTCTTTTCGTCAAGTACTGTCTAGATACCTTCACATAGGCATTCGAATGTCTACCCTCGTGTTAGCACAGTGGCCGATCGCCTCGTACCTTTTGGTCATATTTTAGGAATGGAAAGAATACAACTACAAACGGTATATCCCATCACGACATGTGCAACTCTGCCAGACAACCTTACCAAGTTTTGTGGATCCCGGGCTAGCAGGCAAAGTCGCAGTTCACTACTTCGAGAATCCCTGGTGATAATCCTGCACGGAGCATGTTCATTTGACAGCCGCCTTACCACTAGGCCACTCGTCGCCTCGCTCCGTTATCTGGATTTCAGCAAGGATTGTTGCGGGTGTAGATCGATTCATCCCACATCCAATCGTAACATCCCACAGGCCTTCTACGTTGAATCTCTACGCATGCTTATTCACATCCCTAAACAAGTAAGCAATGTTAATATAATATGCATCATGCCAAGACCCGCCATCTGACCTTCTACTCGTAGCCTTTCCTCCTTCTCCTAAACGCCCCGCTCACTCTGCCACTGGTACTGCGGGTACTTGGAAGGGAGTAGTGCCGGAATCACATGCTGTATCACCTCCCAAACTAGGCATCAAACGTCTACATACGCCATTCTGTGCCGCTTTGGCGACTGGCAACTCTACGCGCCATGTTGTAGGTACGCCAGCTCTGTACGCGATTGTCACGTCGGTGATTGCTAGTCCTGATTGGAAGGTGGATTTGCGTCCTGTCATGTCATTCCAACTAGAGGCTACTGAGGGCGTCTATATAAGAGGGACGGAATGCCTTGTTAAAACATCAGGCAACGAGCACAGCAGCACTTAGCCCATCAACAGCAGCACTCATCAACCTTCGCTCTATCAACATCGTTCTTCGACCATTCTTCAACATGAAGCTCTCACTCCTTCTCGCTCTTCTGCCAGTGGCTCTTGCCCTTCCTGCGCCAGTCATCATTCCTCGTGCTGGCACTCCCATCCCAGGAAGGTACATTGTCAAGCTCAAGAACCAGAACCTTGAGAACCTCATCAACACTGCTTTGAAGCTTCTCAAGAAGGACCCCACTCACGTCTACAAGTTCGGTGGTTTCGGTGGTTTCTCCGCTGATATCACTGATGACATTGTTGAGCTGCTCCGCAACCTCCCCGGTGTAAGCGATTGATTTTCTAATATTACGAGTCTTAGCGCTAACAAAGTACATACAGGTTGACTACATCGAGCAGGATGCCGTTGTCCAAGCCAACCTTGGTGTCGAGGTTGAGCTCGAGAAGAAGGCTTACACCACCCAGTCCTCTGCTCCTTGGGGTCTCGCCCGTATCTCCAGCCAGAGCAGGGGCACTACCTCGTACACCTACGACACCAGCGGTGGTGAAGGCACCTGCTCTTACATCATCGATACCGGTATTCAGATCAACCACCCAGAGTTCGAGGGCCGTGCCACTTGGCTCGCCAACTTCGCTGACAGCTCAAACACTGACGGCAACGGTAACATATACTCATATTCGAAAGATGACAAGTAGACTAACGATTCCTAGGCCACGGCACCCACTGCGCTGGTACCATCGGTTCCAAGACCTACGGAGTAGCCAAGAAGACTCAGCTGTACGCTGTCAAGGTCCTCGATGCCAGCGGTTCGGTATGTAAAGACATTCTCTCTTGTTGAGGTATGCTGCTAACTGCATCAAGGGCACCAACTCCGGTGTTATTGCCGGTATCAACTTCGTTGCCACCGATGCCAAGACCCGTAGCTGCCCCAACGGTGCCGTTGCTAACATGTCTCTTGGTGGCAGCCGCTCCACCGCCGTCAACTCTGCTGCTGCTAATGCTGTTTCTGCCGGTGTCTTCTTTGCCGTTGCTGCTGGTAACTCCGCCGCAAATGCCGCCAACTTCTCTCCTGCATCCGAGCCCACTGTCTACACCGTTGGTGCCACTGACAGCTCCGACCGCCTGGCTACCTTCTCCAACTTCGGCACATCAGTCGACATTCTTGCCCCTGGTGTCTCTATCCTTTCCACCTGGATCGGCGGCCGCACTGTAAGTCACATCCAAGAAGAATATCCATTACTTTGTTTTTCAAACGGCTAACAATAGAATAGAACACCATCTCCGGTACCTCCATGGCTTCCCCCCACGTTGCTGGTCTCGCTGCCTACATCTTGACTCTCGAGGGCAAGAAGACACCTGCTGCTCTCTCCTCCCGCCTCACTACTCTCTCCCTCAAGAGCAAGATCACCGGTCTTCCCTCCGGCACCGTCAACAACCTTGCCTTCAACGGCAACCCCACCGCTACCTAAACAGGTTCCAAGCAGGTTCTGAGCAGGTCGAGATGATGAGATTCCCTCTCTCTCCCTCTCTTCTTTGTGCTCTTTTTCCATTACAACTGTATATATGATGATTGAGTTTTGCATGGGCTTTTGGGCTTGTTGCACCGATAGTTTTGGAAAGAGATGTCATAAGCGAGATTCAATAAACAATGTTGAGCGAACTCTATTTCATGCAATCCGTGATCTTGAAATTCTCTTTTCTCAAACTATGCACTTTGAGTTGCATAAAGCGTACGTATACTAAAATCTAGTACATCACGCTTCTCCCCCGGCATCCCCTCAGAAACACCCCCCTCCCCCCCCCAATCCGATCTCCACATCCACTCTTTGATCCCGTAAATCGCAAGAAAGACACAATATAAATCCCTAAATCCTTAACAATAATGCACATCCTTTTCCCCAACCGCGCCTCGCTAATCTACCAACACCCCCTTGCCCCCGGGTAAAATACCAAGGCTAATATATCAGTCTATGTACGCACGAGCCAGTGCTTGTGACTCGGGTATAATGCAGGCCGAGACTGTCTTGTCTCCACTTACGTACGCGAACTACGCCGGGTAGAACCAGATGCACCGGGGCGTATCAAGGATTGAGTATGGGATAGGAGTATGGTGGGGCATCGGGTTTTCTAATCTGTTTTCTGAGCTGGTGCTACCTACGTACGAATTTTGGTGGTAGGGGGGGGGGGGAAGAAGGTATGTGGGCTGGGCTGTTGGGCTGTTCCGGTGGAAGGGGATTCCCTGGGCCATGGGGGTGGTGGGTTCAGGTTGAGGGTGTGTGTGGTACGAGGCGGTTGTGTCTGCGAATAGAGCGAAGACTTGGGTGACGAGGCACAGTCAGAAATGTTCTGGGTGACAGTGGGGGCGGGTGGCAGCTGCTGTTGGGTAAGTTGTACAGAGTGAGGTTTCAGGGTGGGACTAGTGGGATTGACGGGGGTTTTTTGGGACAAAGGAAATTTGTGGTTGGATCTGGCATGGTTTATTGAGGTGGGTCTTCACGATCGAGCAATCGATGTTCTGGATTATTCTTTGTTCCTTCTATGATACGTATATTGGGAGGCGTTGACACGGTACTTGTGTATCGGGTCATGTGGCTTTACTATGCCGCAGCCACAGGCAGGTTGTGCCGCATCTGCACGTGTCCGTTGAACTCCCAACCCGATATTGCTTGTTTGTGGTGATAGTTTGCCCTCTTTTTATGCACTGTAGATACCTCATAGGTCAAAGATACAGGTTTTACCGCTCTATCTCAAGCTTCAGACTATTTGCATGATAACAAGTTTTTCTGCAACCCAAGAAAAATGAAGAGCACATCGCGGCACTATGAAGTCTTATTCCAGCAGTCCCGCTGTCACCGACATGCCACGCCGTTTTTGTTCGCCCTGAAAGAAACACTGCAGCAGACACGGCATAAGACATTGGTCCGAATAAGGTTGCACTGCATATGTACGATCCTATCACCTTTTGACTCTCACGGGCTGCGTGCTTGAATGCCAAAGGAACTGTCCCCCTTTAGTAAACAACGGCCCATACAACATGCATATCTATCAGTAGCGCTGTCTCCCAAACAGATAAACCAAAGCTTGCAATATCGGTCACTCCCTTACTTTGTTATAACTCAGCATACTATCATTGAGTAAATCTCTACCAAATCCTACTACAAGAATGTACTTCCTCCTGCTATCCCTGCTTATTTCACTTGCAACCGCTACATCATTAGTCAAAGCACCTTGTAGCAACACCATTGCCAACAAGTGGATTGTCAAACTCAAAAACAACGTCGCTACTCGGGCCGCCGATGGCGTGAAGGCAGCCCTTTCCACAGAGCCTGACTACCAGTATTCGATGCCTGGCTTCCGAGGCTTTGCAGGAACTCTATCTGATGACGAGGTAGCGTTGCTACAAGCTTCTGATCAAGTAAGACACTCTTAGCATACTTGTGAAGTTTCTGTGCTGATTTTTATAGATCGAGTATATCCAGCAAGACGCTGAGGTTTACACAACGGCACTTGTCAAACAGTTGAATGCTACGTGGGGAATTTCTCGTCTCTCGCATATAAAGCCTGGCGAAACCACATATCTCTATGATTCCAGTGCAGGAGAAGGAACTTGTGCGTATGTTTTTATCTGCCGCCAAATTTTCTCTGTGTATCACTGACAAAGCGGAAAGTTATGTGATTGATACAGGCGTCGACATTACGCATCCCGAGTTTCAAGGGCGTAAGTAATAGTGCTCAGATGCAAGACTTGTACACTGACTCAGTAACAGGCGCCTTCTTTCTGGCAGACTTCACTCATGAAGGTAATTTTATAGATGGTTATGGTCATGGAACGCACGTCGCTGGAACAATTGGGTCTGCGACCTGGGGCGTAGCGAAGAAGACTATAATCTTTGCTGTGCGAGTACTCGACTCTAATGGCTGGGGAACGAACGCTGATGTGGTTGCGGGTCTGGAGTTCATCCTTCGAGATGCAAGAGAGCGTAGGGGAACGGATCAGTGTCGCAATGGGTTTGTTGTCAATATCAGCTTGGGAAGTGAAAAGCTTCCAGCTTTGAACGATGCTGTAAGTAGCTCTTGTCAAGTTATTGTTTGGCTGAATGCTGATTTAAATGCAAGGCCGCAGCTATGGTTGCAGAGGATCTCTTTCTAGGAGTTGCCGCAGGTAACGACGGCGTGCCAGCTGATGATTTCTCTCCAGGGTCTGAGCCTTCGGTCTGCACTGTAGGAGCAACGGCGGCGAACAATACACTTACCCAGTGGTCCAATCATGGTCCTCGGATCGATATTCTGGCTCCTGGCCTAGACATCACTAGCACTCTTCCCAATGGTGCGGCTGCCTCGTTTTCGGGTACAAGTATGGCAGCTCCGCATGTTGTTGGCCTTGCAGCGTATTTGCTTGGACTCGGGTCACCAGCAAAGAATCTCTGTGGTACAATCGCTGCCTTGGCGATCAAAAATGCGATCGATCAAGACACGCTTCCAAAAGGGACACCGAACCTGTTGGCGTTCAATGTAGCCCAGCCAGCCAGAAGCGTATGAGGCATTCATGGAGTGTTTGGGAGAAGTGAAGAAGTACAGGGTTGTTCGGAATTCACCTCAGCGATCCGGGATATTCCTTGTGTATGTGCGCAGGTGTCAATAGCATTGCCATTGCCATGAACATCCCTCCAATGCGCATGCCTGTCTGATGGATAATTCTCGAAGACACTAGACTCACAGCCACAATGCTATATTGCTGATGGCCGCTTGGCCCTAAACAACGACATAGCATAAGTAATCAGCTTGCAGACCGTTGCGTGAAACTCATTTTTGCCGGTCCGTCTCACGTCAGGCCCTGTCAGCGACAAACGGCCTATCACAGTCCAGTAATAAATTCTCCGAATTCCATGGCTATGCCAACACTTTTGCATGCAAACCGTAGCTTGGAGACCTGAGCCTTGTAACAGTGATGTCGCCCAAGCAAGTATCGCCGATCGGAACTTCCCCAGCCCTGCTGGCATAACGCGATCGACCAACCACCGGCAATCAGACGAGGGAATTGCGGGGTAGGGGTATGTAATAACAGGCTAGTCCAACCTGCACACGCGACTTTTCTCCAAGACCCAAGCATCCCAGCTTGATTGCCTCTCATACTTGATCCCACTTTGTAACTTTAAAATCTGTTAATCATTACAGGCGTGTAGTAGCACTCCTTTAACCACACGGCACTCGTCACCGCGGAACCACAAGTCATGTCGTCATACTTCGATCTCCCGCCACAGAAAGTGGCACCACCAGAGTGTATAGAACAGATACCTCAAGAACAACGGAAACAGTTGGGCCGCACTAGCAGCCTGATGTCCCCAGCCGTCGCTCAGATCCTTGAAGGACTAGGAAATGACCACTCGAGTAGCAGCGAGGAAGACTCTGACCTATCAGACGATCAAGAGAAGGGACATCCCAAATCGCAATCTAAGAAGGATATCAGCGCCCAGAAGATACAGCAAAAGAAGCAAAAGCTCAACTCGGCTCAAGCACCTCGGCCATCCTCTCTCTCCCCGAACAGAAGCAGAAGTCGCTCCAGGTCGGCAACCAGAAAAGTTTCCAATATGTCGTCATCTGCAGATGCCAAAGAAGCCAGTTCCGATAGACCTAAAAATAAACAACCACAAATGGCTCGCTTTCATTCTCTCCGAAGTATCCTTTTCCAGCAGAAGATCGAAGATCGTTTAAGGACAGCTACGCAAGAAGATTGCAAGAAGGAGGTCAGTGCTGCGGAGACGTGGCAAAATCAACACAAAGAGCGCCAAATGCACCATCCAACAACGCCCGAGAAACATGCGCAAGTGAAGAGTGGAATTGGAAGCAGGCTTAAGATGACGTTGCGGAGAATGACAACCAGGGATGCAGGGGGGATGGAGAAGATCAAGGAGGATGGGGCACCGGTTGAATTCAAAGATCGTCCGTCGACTCTTTCCTCGGAAAATGAAGAGAAACAACCGGAATCAAAGAAAGCAACCGAGAATGATGACGCCAGCATCAAGGATACCGATGTCGACGATCTTGTTCGATGGGTTAGCCGGCGCGGTTCGTCTGGTGAGGGTGAGGTGCAGAAAGATGACACTGTAGAGGGCGTCAAGGACGACATCGGCCAGGACAGCCTTGGTCATTCCAATATTCAAGATCCCGTTCACCATGCAAGAAGGAAATCGTCCACCAAAGACGTCCAGGATGCCAGTGATGAACACCTAGGATATAGCGACGCGCCCACAGAGTCTGATACTGAACTCTCGTCGGACGAGGAAGAGAATGCAGATGACCTTGTACGCTGGATATCGCATCGTGACAGATCCAAAGCCGGTCCAGTCAGGCGAAATCTGCAACGAGAAGAGCTGGACTCCGATGTAGAAGAACACTATGACTCGGACGTCCCAGAAATAGGCCGGTGGTACAAACGTCATGATGCTACCAGTGGAGAATCGGCAGCCACAACTCCGATCAAAGAAACATTTGAGCAGCAGCAGATAGAAGAAGAAGAAGAAAACCGCGGCCGACCTCGAAGCCGCGAATTGCCCGAGCCACCCGCTCAAGAGAAAACCCACCTTTCATCCTCCGATGTCGACGAGCTCGTCCGCTGGATAAGCAGCAAAAACCTAAAACGCCCCGATACTCCCCTTTCCCAAGCGCAAACCCAGACCGGGACTCCGGAAAGCACGCAAGACGAAAAGAAACAGGCTGTCGGTATGAGTCTGGACCAAGGAAGCTTGTCCCACCGCGACGTGCAAGAATTGATCGAGCATGTGCGCAAAACAAGTACACCAACAGATGACACCGCTCCAGACTCTTCCAGTATCGAACGAGGTGATCTGAAGAACATGCAGCGTGAGAATAGTCCGTCAACTCGCGATCCACAGCTGGAACTAGAGGGGAAAAGAGAGGATATCAGGAACAAGGAGAAGGAAGAACAGCTCGGTATGAGTATGCAGGATGCTAGTTTGAGCCATGGCGATATCGAGGATTTGCTCGCGCATGTGAGGAGCAAGTAGTGAGCTTTTGATGCGGGTATTTGAGATTTCAAGTGGGGAGGGGAGTTGAAGCTTTTTGGGGTACGGGATCCCACGGACACCAAGTGGGGTCTCCGTTCGGGGATAGTAGCGGGGTTGGGAAGGTAACGGACTCGGACTTTAATGATAGTGTATACTTGTGTAAGAAGAGGAAAGGAGTTTTTGTGAATTTTTTGATTGAAAGCGTGTGTATTTTCTTTTGGTTTTGAGAGACTTTGGGGGATAGATATGTAGTTTAGTAATGTATAGTGTAGTTCATAAGGATTCCTCAGAATATGCAGTTGAACTTTTACTCCTCTGTTGGTTTAAACATAAAACGAGCAGTTTTTTTTTTAAAAAAAACAACTTGGCTACTCATACATTAGTCTAACAAAGCTGAAAAAGAAAGTGTTGGAACAACACAGCTTTTGCGATGCCAACACATCGACTCCATAAACACCACCCGGGAAAAAAGAAAAAGAAAGGCCCTCCAACGGGCTATGAGATATAACAAAACGAAAGCAGCGCTCTCAATCCAGCGTAAGCGCATTAACCCCTTCAAACTGCAACCGCCTGAACATACTCCTGATAGTCCCACAATTCCTATCCCGCTCCTCATCACTCTCCCTCATCTCCGTCCTCATCTTGCCCAGCATATTCGTTCCATCCCCGCGATGTCCACCCTCCTTGATATTCGTAAAAAACATGCGTCGACCCGTCTGATTGAGGGGCTCCCACTTGGCAATGCTAACATCCTTGCGGGGAATAACCTGGTGCTCGCGGTTCGGATCGAGGAACTTGACAAATGAGATGAAATAGTCTGAGATTTCGTTCTGGCGGCGGACCATGACTTGGCCGACGGTGCCGGCGTGTTTGGTGCCAAAGCCGTTCTCAATGTCGACGCCCCACATGACGTCCCATTGGTATTGGTACGTGGGGACGTCGGGTGGGTTGAAGCGCGAGATGGCGTTGGAGGCGAGGTAGGTCGGGCAGATATAGCGGATGTCGCCTTGTGCTTTAGCGACGGCGTCCCACCATTTGCCGCTGTCAGGCCAGTGGCGGTCGTTGGGGTAGGTCTTCTTTAGTGTTTCGAGGTCTTCGTCTGTAAGCAGGGGGTAGTGGTCCTTGAGGTAAGATTTGAATTCTCCTTCATTATCGGTCGCTTTCTTGACTTGGTCGGAGCCTTCGTTGGAGGTGAAGCCGATAATTGTAGGGACTTTGGCATATTTGTTGGACAGTATAGCGGCAGGGGCGGGCTGGGTGAACATGCCGCCTTCGGGCTCAGTCGTTGGGGCCCACATCCAGCGGGGTGGAGTATTCCGACCGGGGAAGGACATGGGGTAGTTTTCGTAGTACAGGTCGCCAGTCTCGGCATTGCGAACGCAAGCAATATCTGTGCAGTTCAGCCCATCTGCAACCTCGTTCCAAAACTTCTCAGCCTGATCGGGTGTGAAGAAGGTCGGGCTCGCGGGAGATTGAGCGATGGCTCCGTGGAAGAGGCGCTTGCGGCCGGTGCCAGGGACATTGTAGTAGTTGTCACCCTCGTTCGCAGTCAGGTGGAGCATAACTGATGCACCACCCGCACTGGTGCCCATTATGACTACGTGGTCAGGGTTCCCGCCAAAGTAACGGATGTACTTTTGTACCCATTCCAACGCCGCCCTCTGGTCGCGCAATCCGTTATTGTAATCGCCGTCCTGCGCAATCTCTTTTCCGGAAAGAAAGCCGTAAATGCCGTTGCGGTAGTACATGGTGACTACAACGATACCCTTGTCCAGCTTGCCGTCTACGCCTTTTTCACGACGAGCCTTCTCTACCATTTCGCCTCCATTGCTGCGTCCGGGAAGATGGAAGCCACCACCGGGAATGTTGACCAAGACAGGGAGATCGTCGCCGGGCTCAGCATCGATTGGCGTGAAGACGTTGAGACTCAGGCAATCCTCTGTGGACCGGGTCTTGATACCTAGGACATCGGGTCCCGAAATGTCCTTCCTGTTCCTCTCTGCTGGGTTGATCTTCTGTATCCTCGGGCACATGCCCAGCGAGCCATCCCAAACCAAGGGCTTCTCTGCGCGACCGATGCCATATGTTCTGTTCACGGGCTGTGGTCCACGGAAACGGTTCTTGCCTCCAGCATCTGCAGCATAGGGAATGTTCCAGTAGGAACGGACCTTGTCTGTAGTGTTGGGCTTAATAGCCAGGTAGTCTAGTTCGACAATGTATGGATCTTCGGTGTTCTTCAACGGCGCAGAGAAGGGAGGGGCTGTAGGCTTCGATGTTAACGGCGGTATCCATTCGGAGCTGGGTCGCAGGTCGGGCGAGTACAGAAAGGCGAACGTGAAGGCGAGGACGATGGCAGCGGCGAGACCAAGGATAACGCGCCGGTCGAAGATGAGGCTCGAGTTGAGGGGACGTACTGCCATGCTAGGCAAACGTGTGGGGGCTACAAAAGAGTGTGAAAGAGAATGAAGGGTGCTGTGAAGAAGAAAGAAATCAATTCACGGCTGTCAAAGTCACGTCTGCAGCTGCACCCAGGGCAGCAAATTCAGGGACGCAGACGGGTGGAAGTTCCTCGCCGCTGTCACAGGCTTCCTAGACATTCTTGTTTCTGGATGCTTGGTTCTTGGCCAGCCAGACCGACGGAAGCGGCTAAGGGGGCGGCAATCGGCACCATGTCCTTGGCGCTGACGCGTATCGCATTTGGGCGAATCCCATGGCGATCGACACCTCAACGTCTGGTGCCTTGTTCAGAGAGAGGGACGGGGTGGACAGTCGATGGGTGGATTATGTTGGTAATATATGCACATGATCAGGATATCGGTGGTAAACTGTACCTGGTTTTGGCCGTTTGAGTATTTAGAGGTATTTTTGCATGGCGAGCCAAATACTTAATTGAGTCCCGAATAAAATCATCGCCTTTGATGAAGAATCCATGGAACCAAGTACATCGTTTCAGGGATGAGGCATTACTCATTACATAATGGTGTTGTATCTCCAGACAAGACAGACAAAAGCAACCTAGCCTGCATGGCACACAGGTCTAGCAAGTCGGTATCCCTTTAACCTTGATGTCGCGAACATTGCTTTTAGTCAAGTATTCAATCACTCTCCTTGTTACCTTGGGATATACATTCATGAAGCATATCAGTAAATTTGAGCGGATTGAGTGTCTTCACTACGCACATAGGCTTAAATTGATAAATTCCTTAAAAAAATTGTAGTATAACTACAAATGTTAATATATGAAGGGTAATGCCTAGAGCTCGCGATTGGGCAAGTCCAAAGCATCTGTTCTGTTAAACACTTTTTTGAATTATTAGAAGAAAGATCTCCTTGGCATCTAAAGTGTATCATTTTCGGGTGTAGGCTTGAGTATGCATTTGTCATGATGCAGTTGTACTGAAAAGAGAGGACTGATGCTACTGTCCTTGAGGCAGCGTTGTCGAGTATTTTTGTCTTCTCCTTCTCCTTCTCCTTCCCACTAGACAATATCATCCAGTGGAGGAGAATTCAAGCTTGATAGAGCATCTCAGGGAACAAACATGGCTTATTCTCTCTCTCTCGCTCTCTCATGGCTCAGGCATAGTTTTTACCTACATATTTAGCAATACTGTTTACCAAGTAAACCATCATACTAAGCTTCAGTGTCTAACAGTTTAGCTAGTTCGCGCTTGGTCTTCCATTCATCTCCTTCACCATCACCATCGAGCTCCCCACTCCTGAAGCTTTTCTGTACCAAGGGAGCTTTATCACGACACAACCTATGGAACGAAAGGTATATCAATTTGAACCATGTTATCTTGTAGCGAACATACCATATATCATAAATCGTTTCACCCAGTAAAACCTACCGCGATTCCAATATGTCATCTCCTCATTGCCCCAATTATTCCTTAACCACAAAATCCAGAACGTCCATACCAAACTCAGTCTCTCTCACCCTATCATCCCACCCAATCGACATACCTCTCTCTCACCCTATCATCCCACCCAATCGACATACCTCCCGATTATTCGCACGCCCCCATTAGCCAACCCCCACAATACCCTCTTCCCCCGCCTCTACCCTCCCATGCAGAACCAACCCAACACTCTCCACCGTACCGAACCCTCCCACCACCTTCCCCTTCTTCAAAAACTCCTCCATCCCCCCCTCTCTCTCACCCCTCCGCTATTTCCCCCCATCCAAAGCCAAAATGATATTCACACCAACCTTCGACTTCCCCCTCGAAACAATATCTTCCAGACCTACCTACCTAGACCCCATCCCCACTCCGCGTCCTCCCCCTCCCCCCGCCCTTCCCTCCTACACCTCTACACCTATCAATCCACCGCCTCCCGCGTACACCGGACAAGATACAAGCGCTCCATCGCAAGCACAGCAAGATACCACTCCGACAGCGCCTCTATCAGTAGCCGCAACAGGCGAAGCACAAACAGCTATCCCACGCACGACACCAAAGCCTGGGGTTTCTACACAGTTGGAAGCGGTATCGCCGCGAGAACTGGAAGCAGGAAGAACGGGAACGACAATGCCGGAGGCATGGCGCAAGGCGCTGGTTTTCCTTACATTTGTGATCATAATGGTGCTAGTGGGGGGTGCTCTTTACGGTGTCGTTGAAATACTACTACTGTGATTAGATTACAACTGGGATTAGATGGAGAAAGAGTAGCGGGGCGGTGATGAGAATGAAGGGGGGTAAGAAAGATGCAGAATGTGTGTGTGTGTGTGTGAGAGAGAGAGGAAGATGGCGTTATGATAGTTGTTGTGCATGTGAGAGAAGGGGTGCAAACTAACAATTCGGGATGTTGTAAAGGAGGTGGGATTAGGGGAGGTGTGGCTGGTATCGTAACGCAGCGGAACATACAAACAGTTGACAATTTAACAACATCCTGTTTTATTTTATAGATGGAATACACATTCATACCGAAACAAGAATCGTCGTAAGCGTGACCTTTTGCCTTCCATCCCCCACTGCACACATGCCACATACTAGACGCAATAATTATAGCCATGATAGTTGTTCAACAAGATAGGTTTGGGGGAAAAACGTTGGGGGGGTATATATTGACATGAAAATCAAGCTTGGAAAAATATCCACTTCCTACTCATAACAATCAAAACCTTAGTGGAACAGATCTTGCGCTGCAGCAGCAGTTGCTTGAGCCTGTGCTTTGGCAGCTTCGTTGGCGGCAGCCATGGCGGCAGAAAGGTCATTGTCTACTTTCTGCTGCGACGAGCTTCCCGGGCGGGTCTCGCCGGTTCCTTCACGCTCGCCTACTGCAGCTGCGGCGAGATGTTGAAGGCCGGCCATGTTGGGTTCAAGCTGAGGACTGGCTTGTTCTGGACCGTTGAAAGGGGGCGTGGAAGCCTTCTTTTGATGTAGTAGATCCCTGATGGCGGTTTCCCAGCCTAGTCCGTCAGAGCTGCGATGGATGATCTGGCCGTTAGATAGAGCATCGCTCATTTCTTTGATGCTGGATTGTGCGTCTACCTGTGTCTCGACTCGGTCGGACAGTTCGGTGAGCGAGGTTGCTACTAGTGCGGCAAATATATGGTGCAATGGAGTTATTGCGCCGCTCTTCAGGTTGTTGAGAAGCTCTTGGGTAGCATGAAGAACCTCTACAGAAGGAATATTTTGCAAGGAAAGCCTGGCTATAAACACTCGCAGATATTGATGTGCTAGATGTGGAGGTGAGTTTCGCGTCAGGTTGGTTAGATCAATGGATTGCTTGACTTCATCCAGCAGCCCATTGAGGTACTCGGATTCGGGAGTCCCGGGTTTGAGTGCAGAAAAGGCAAAAGGAGCTGAAGAGTCAACATTCGGTATGCTGCCTGCGCGGTTCACGTACGCTATCCGACCTACGATTTGAGCAGCACCTATTCATGGTTAGTAGCGTTCGGTTACAAACAGATAGACTTGTACTAACGGGCAAGGTAATAGCCGACTTCGCCAAGTGCCGTATAATCATCCTTGGAGAGAGTCCCACTGTACCGTCGAATCATCATATCCTTGGAGCGGCTTGACGCGTGAAATCGATCTAGTATCAGGGCAGTCCAGTAGACACGCCGCGCTGTGTGGTAGATCTCAAGGTCTTGCTCCTTGATCGTCGTCAGGGTCCGCGCATCATTGATGCCGGCGTCAGCAATGGAGGCTGAAATTCTAGCCAGCAATCCTGTTGTGCTTCCAACAATACCCGGACCAGGTCGGTCAGAGGCGGCAGCAAGTAGAATCATGGACTGACAGTATACCAGATGATTGTAGAATTGCCGCGAGCTATCCGAGTCATGCAAGCAGTAGCTAGCTGCGTCAACCGAAGTAAAGCATTGTTGGAGCAGCTGGTTGAGATTTATCTCGAGAGGTGGCAAGGCTTTTGAAGCGAGTGAGCGGATACAACCTTCCAATGTCATGAAAAAAGTCTCTCGCAACTTTGACGGACAGTTGGTAAGCCGATTCAGCTGCGACTCATGGTGGGGCAGAACTGGCAACGTGGGGTGTATGATGTTATAGTAGCTAGGGTATGGTCAGCACAGGCCATTTCGAGCACAAGGAGCACACTTACGCCTTGAGGGTTTCTTCGTTGGAGCCAGTGATCAGACTTCCACCCAAATTCATATCACCAAACGAGGTGCGGCGATTGCCATTGAGGGATGATTCTTGATCGCCTAGAGCAGGCAAACCGTGTGTTTCCATGGGACCGTTGGAGCGGTCTGGAGCAGTCCAATTCGGTCGGCTAAAGGCTTCGTGGAAACCCTCTGTCATGGAATGGGTGCGCTGGCGCTTGAACTGGGGCGGGCTCTGTGTGTCTGGGAACGTCTGATCTCCCATGGATCCAAAATCAAACGTATGCGCAGGGTTGGGAGGGTGATGGATTTGGCTTTCGAGCGAGTTGAGTCGGTCTGCGAGTTCTTTGATGTAACTAGACACTGTCAGCATGCTCACCAACAGACAAAGTGACGGACAACATACCCTTTGCTAGGGCCACGTTTCATGGGCTGTCGGCTAAACTGACATCGTGCTCCTGTCCTCTTGCAACTAGAGCACGCCTCGGGGCCGTTTTCACTGGTTGCGTCGCATCGAATCTACTTGATGTAAGCAGCAGCTATGGACACGCGGGCTGGGAGTGGCGCACCTTCTTTCGACGACATTCGTCGCAGGCGCGTGAGACTTTTGAACGCTTGCGGGTAGGGTCGTTGGGGTCGAAGTGGTCGTGATGGCCCTCCAAGCTCATGACGTGTTGGGCCATTTGCTGTGGAGAGTGCGTCGGACGGGCCGGGCCCTGGAAGTGCGGATGCGCAGCCATTGCCGGGCCCATGTGCGCCATCTGCTGGTACTGGGGTTGCTGGGGGCCAGGTGGATGCATCATGTCTCCTCCTTCACGCAGCTGTTGCAGATTCTCTTGCAGACGCAGTTCGGGATCCGTCAACTGATGTTGGGGCGCTGGTGGTGTGCCGTTCTGGTTCGCGTATTGGCCTGGCCCTCCGCCCATCTGCGCGTCGGGATCCGCGTAGCCAGCCATGTTGAAGCGCGTCGTACGGAGAATGGCAATCAGGTGGTGCAGTTGTAGGTTTTGGTGGAGACGGCTGCTAAAATGGAGTACGCGATCGCGCGCAGGGCGGGTTGATGTTGTGGTCAGTCAAGAGAAACGGACGGTTCAGAAGCGACCGAGGGAAGTTGTGCGAGCTTTGCGATTTTTGCGCTAGCGTGAACCATGGCATGAGGGCAGAGGTGCTGGTTAAACATGAGGAGGGACGGCAACAACATGGTGTCGATGGGTGGAGCATACAAGGACAATTGACATGTCTTTTGCCCGCTGTGTTGCTCGGAAGCTACTGACTGGGTTGGTGACGATGTGGTCGCTGTTCGGATTATCTCTTCCACCGTCCGGGACGGCGACTGGAAGCACCAGGCTCGGCCATTGTTTGGAGAAGGGCAAAAAGTTTGACCAGTTTTTTCCAACGGGTACTTCCGGCCAAGACTACGATTACTGAGCACACGGCTGCATTTGCTAGCAAGTCATTCTGATGAGGACTGGAGTAGCTAGGGAGCAATGGCAAGTCTCATGTCGCGCTATTCGCAGGGTCATGTGTGCTAGTAGAGGCTTCCCGGCAGACAGAGGAAGAGAGAAAGTTTGGCGCAATGGCAATTCAGAACACAAGTTTGAGCAGCCATTGTGGGCCGAGTGCAGGTTGGCGATTGAAGCCGGTGTCAAGACGGACGATTGCAGGTGACCGTGCAGAGCAATGGTGTCGAGATAGTCGGCGTCTAGAGCATTCGTGGATTGAGGGGGCAGGTGGGTTGTAGGGTGGGCAGGCTAGGGATAGTACGCACATGGGTGCACATGTCAATTACTACATAGATAGATGAAAACAACCAGACAGACGGAGATGGAGTGCAGCTTGGGCCCCGGGCTTTTTTAGAACAGAGCCATGTCCGGTAAGTAGATATGTATGGCAATTGTACTTGGGCAGTGTGTTGGAATGGCTAAAGGACTTGGCTCTGTTGGCCCTGCCCTTCTCGGAGGCACACAGCAAGGGCAGACAGCTCCGACGTGGGCCCAGGGCAAGCACGGCCCACCAGGTGTCTACACCGCACTTGGAATATGTACTACGTATGTGTACTATACATGTGCTCCATGGACGGGCCGTCGACACTGGAGCAAAGCTTCAAGGCGACCGGACCATGGCCTAGTTGATTCGACGCCGAGGCACGAGGGGTGCAGGTGCACGGGGAAGCAGTCAGCGTGGCCGCGCACCCCCATTCACCTACCCAAATGCATGCGCCCGTATATATACAATACAGAGATACAGTGGGCATTTTGTTTCATGGAGCGCACAGCCTGTCACGTGCAAGCGGCTAGTTGATGATAATTGTGCTAATTAATTGAAAGCCAATTTGCGGCCTCGGGCCCGTGACAGGGCTGACAGGTGGCGTGGTACAGCCATGGAGATGGCCGCACGCATAGCTGGTCGCAAGCAATGTACCTGACAGAGATGAAGAGGGAGAGGACATGTAGTATAGTGGATAGCGAAAGGTACATGTTGGAATCCATGGCAGGTCCTGGGGGACACGACGGGGTGCAGCCAATGGCGGGGGAGGTATCAGCGGCAAGGGAAACAGGCTGACTCGACAAGCGAACAGCCTCCGCCATGAAACAGGCGGTGCGTGGAGTGCCGCATAATTCATTCGACAAGGCGGCCGACGAGGGGCCAGCGCAGCACGAAGGGGGGACGCGTAGTCAGATGGCCGACCGAGGGGGAGGGACAAGGTCCGGTGCTTTGTGGCGGGCATGGAGCGCCTAAGCAGCAGCTGCTGCAGGTCATGGCCCCAGGACGGCAGCATAGTAGGCGTACGGACACATGGATGCTATCCTGGGCCGGGATGCGGTGAGAGGGACGGTGGTGTTGGCCTGCTGGCTCGCTGGCTGGCTGGCTGGCTTGCTGGCCGCCTGCTGGGTTGCATGCAGGCCAGGGCAGAAGGGGGCAGCGGAGGAGGAGTACGTACTAGCAGCTAGCAACAGTCCCAGGGCTCGAGGGTCAGAGGGTGCAGAGAGGGTGCAGAGGGCGGATTCGCGCGCTAGGCCCCATCCGGCCACGACTGCCCGCCGTCGCCATGGCTGATCGCGCCTGCAGATTCGAGCACGCAGCGTCGCAAAGGCCCGAGCGCCCTTGCCGATGACGCTAAGCTCCACAGCCAATTACACGCTCCACAGCCCCGTGTGCCTCTGCTCTTAACCTGTTGCTCCCGCTCTCCCTCTGTTCTCTCACCACTATCGTCCACCAACAACACCATACAGTACACTGGTCTGGTCGTACCCAAGGAGCCCCGTCTAACGCTTTCGGCCAGCGCCTCCTGCGCTCGGTTCCCCTCTGATACTCCATCTCCACTCTCCTCTCTGCATCCTGTCGTCCTCCGGTCCTGTCCACGGCGTTCACGGTCCTCGTCCAACTTCCCTTGACCAAGATACCCTCTGGCGTTTGAATTAGCTTTCCTGCTCTTCGTCCTATTCCTTGCATTCTCCTTGTTCCTCTTCTGCTTCGTCTTCTGCATCGCTGCCCTTCTCGTCTCGGCACGCCGGCGCCACCCGCTGCCTGTTGCGCTACCGTTTGTTTCTGTACATCATTTTCGAGCCCCTTGGCACTTTTGCGCTTCACCCACTACTCGGCTATTCCCAGCCCACTGCCACGACCGCTCTCGGCCGTAACCTCTCTCCGGTATGCCTGTTATCGATGGAGAAAAATGGGCTTGCTCGTCCTGCATCAAGGGTCACCGAGTGAGCGGTTGCAATCACACGGGTATGCACATCCACACTCGCATGCATTTGCGACATAACCCTGTGTCTTGACACTCCGCGCTAACACACCACTCCTTACAGATCGTGATCTACACCATATCAACCCTAAGGGCCGTCCGGTCAAGCAATGCGAACACTGTCGCGGTGCGCGCAAGTCCAAGTCCCACCATGCCAAATGTGACTGTGGCGACAAGAAGGACAAGGACTCGCACAAGGATAAAAGCGAGGCGAAGAGTGAGCTCATAGCTGGCTTGGCCGTCCTCGAATGTTTCTGACCTTTACTTTTAGCCCACGACAACCGATGCCAGTGCCACGCGGGTGGAAAATGCCTGTGCGGCACCAAAAAGGATGACCTTGATCTCAAGGTGGATACTTCCCGCCAGACTCTCCACGACGCCCGTGCCAAACCCAAACTGACTGGCACCCACTCGGAAAGCCATCTGACCGTCTTTGCAAACGGTCACCACAAGCCTTGCCATCGCAACAACAACACTGCCCACGTCTCTGGTATGCCCTATAAGATCCCACGTCCACACACCCTGCACGGCCACTCGGCTTTCGCTGCTTTGTCGCAAGACAAGAGTGCTCGCCCCCAACCAGACGTCCAGACGCAACGCTCCATGGATACCCTGTCGCTGTCCAACAACGAGTTTCATGCCATGTTTGGCTCCACGCCGCGATGTGCCGACAAGCCTTCCGTCGCAAATGCAAGCACCAGTCTAGACGCCTTTGCTTTCAACGACATGTTCAGTAGCCAGGTTGGTATGTTTTCCCAAGGTGGTGATTCTCCCGACAGCAACGTCAGCGATACGTTTTCCAGCCAGCAGTGGCCTTGGATGACCAACACAATGACGCCCGTCACTGGCGCATTTGCAATGGGTAGCCTGTCGACATCGCCTTCGCAAGATTGTCTCCCAAACCTGGACAAGGACTGGACTGGCTTTGACCCGCTTTGGTCTGCAACAGACCTCCCACTGGACCCGAGCAAATTCAACGACGAATTGGCTCAGCCGATATCGCATAGCGGGGAGTCCAAGCAAAGCGGTCCAGGCCTTACTGTCGCTTCGTCTACGCATTCTGAAATTGGCGAGGGCGGCTTGTTTAGTGACGTCGACTTCAAACCCCCCCAATCGGCAGCCAGCGAATCGCTGTTCTGGGAAGACACTCCTGCGTATCGCTTCAATCCCTCGGTGCCCAGTGAGCCTGTCAACGTGCCCGTGTCCATGGCAGCAGCTACTTCGGCTCCAATGACCAACATGCTTGGGTTTGAGTCCATGTACGCCAAGAGCATTGCTGCTGCGCCCGCAACGATGACGAGCACTGCTTCGTCGGACTTTGCTGAGGCTGGCGCAATGCAAATGGGTAGCCTTTATGAAAGCGGGCTTCCCATAGACCCGTGGCAACTAGACCAGAGCAATGGTGCATTCAGTGCCATGAACAACAATGTTGACATGTCTTGTTTTGGCAATAACAACAACAACAATTGGTTCTAGACGCCTGCGAGGGAACAGTCAGCCATGTTGGCTGACTGTTTCTTTTGATGACGCCATGACTGATGACGCTGCTGGTGCGCAATGATACCAAGGCCTAGGCAATGTCTATCCCTATCTTCTTTTTTTGGCCCTTGTGGCCGTGCTTTTTGGACCCTTTATGGGTCGCCTGTGTATAGTTTCTGACCTGGCGCGAACCCTGTGCTTTGATCTCCGTTTGACATTGCTAATAGACGATGACCTTTAAGCATTGCCTTTTTGGTGGGAACTCGGTGGTGGAACAAGCATGCAAGCGCAAGCATTGGTACATACACTGGAGAGGCGGGTGGTTTTACTGCATTTTTGGGTTTTTTCTTTCTATTGCTGGTGGCATTTTCATTTTACAAAAGTATAGACACTGGCCCTTGGACGAGGCACCGCTGGGCCCTTGAAGAATTTACATAGAGCATAGTCCAATAACAGTCTCGATGCACGTTGTGCGCGGTTGGCTACTGTGTGAAGTGATGGACTGGAGACGTTTGCCAAAGAGTGGTGCTCTAGAACAAAGACGGGACTGGGTGACATTGTCGGGGCTGCAGGGCGTATGCCACCTAGTCGCTGCACGGCTATGAAGTTCGCCAGTCTTCTCCTCTCTACCAATACCTGTCCTGCATGCCAAACGCGGGACAGACGCAAGCCAAGTACACGCAGAGATTTTTGCTGACTTAGGTTGATGAATCGATCAAGCTGCGTGCGCTAAACAACGCCCGTCGCGGCTAGCAGAGGTCGCAGGCAGGTGATAGTTGAACACATACAGCGCACTTAACTGCAGTAGCAGCACCACCACCACCGACGAGAGCAGCACCATGTGCCACGGCCGCTCTTAGGCTGTCAAGGCTAATCAGCGCTTCAAGGGCGATGGTGTCTTGCCAGAAGGGTAGCCGCTTACGGCAACGGGACTTCGCTGAGCGCGGCTGGCAAAGATCCGAGGATGAGGTAGCCAGAGCGGCACAATCACGGCACCAGCACAGCCCACTCACCACCCCACGACTGACGCGCTCACTCACCATCCGACGCCCGCTGCATGAGTAGCCACAAGGCACAGAGGACCATGTTGCACATGGCCCCTCCCCCTCCCCCCAGACATACGCTGCTGTTTCGTCGGGTCCAAAGGACCGACTGCCTGAGCCACTCTGTCGTCAATGTCTTACATGCATCCTCGTCTTTGGCCGCAACTCGAACAGGAACCGGGCCAGAGGGTTCCTGCGAACCGCAAAGAGCAAATCACAGAAAAAGCAATAGCCCTCTTGTTCCTGGTATAGTTCCCTGTGAAGCGAGAGAAGCGAACCGCGTGGGGAGTCGCGCCTTGAGGAAAAGTACAAGCGTTCCAATGGCGAAAATCACTCATGCAAAAGAGGAACCCACAAGGACAGCATTTCTCTAGCCGCAACGGACACGCCCGCTCAGCACACTGCCTGTTTTGTGGGGGTGCGCGAAACAGTGCGCATCCCAAACGCTTGTTTGCATGGCTGTCGACATCCTCGGCCCTTGCGGATTGAGGCGAGGGAAAGGAAAAGGCTACAAGTTGCCGTTTGCTTACCAGCGCCTGAACAGGTAGTGGCAGCGGCCATTGACCCAGAAAAAAAATCGAGCCCACCACCCCCATCGTCATCCATCATCGTGCCGACATCATCCCGTTGCCCACCTGTCCACACAGAACACAGAAAGTAACAACCCCAAGAATCGCTATCCCTATCGAACAACCTTCAGCTTATCCTTCTTGTTTCATCTACATACCTCCCCTCCCCTTGAACTTACCACACTGCCCATTTCCCTTTTTGAGTTTGTCTCTGTTCTCGGAGAATACCCCTAGTCCCAACTGTTCTCTCTAGCTCATGTTTATTTATCCTCCAAACACAACCCAAAAAAATTACCTAGAACCCGATCGTCCACCGCCTCACGGCCCTGGCTGGTATGTGTATGTGTTGCGCAGACCCCCATCCACCCTTGTTCGACCGCTACTGATCGGACCCTTGCTCGGCATCTCTCTCTTTTTACGTGCCAAAAAATGCCCTTAGGTCTAGTCGATCACGAGTCCCTGGATTTCCAAAACTAGGCCTTTTTTTTTCTTTTGGGGATCATCGTTGTAACACGACAGACAACACGTGCACACTCGCAACTTCTGAAGCGGTAATACAGCCGCCAGTGAGGCGGACATGATGTCAAAGGTTGTGTAAAATGAGTGGGGGGTTGCGGCGGCTCTGGCTTCGCAATGCGCCAGCGCCAGCTGACTCGGTTGCGCGCTGCGTAATCGAACTTGTGCTTGCCCTCGACTCTTGCTTGTAATGCGCTTTGTGCGGTTGGCTGATTGGAAAAGAATGCTCGCGTTACTCACTCTCTTTCGGCACTACTTGCTCGGTTTGTCATTACCTTTCAGGTTTCTTTACCGTGGGGCCCTGGTATATCACCCGATGGCCAGGGGTCACCCACCCATGGATTACTGTGGCTTTGAATCGGCATCATCGATGCCTTCGTGTGGCTGCACCGTAGCATCGGTGTCTGTGGGTGGTCAAGGACATGTGCCTTGACAGACGCAACCTTCCGCGTCAGCAAATCCGCTACTACTCGCCATACTAGCCAAGGCCTGCTTATTCCCCTTTCCCCATCTACTCACGTGCTGTCATTCCACCTCTCTTCAGCACAAAAGTTGCATACAATCGTGACGTTGTGTCCACATCAGGTCACGTCCAGGCACATACATGCTTCGTATACGCATGTATGTCCGTTAACCCAACACACCGGTACCACCCTGCGTCATCGGCCATTGCCTTGATTCCTTCCTACTGCGTACGTACATGCGTGAATGCACCCCATATCTTTCCACTACTAGAACTCTTCTCGAGAAAAGAACCCCCTCCCCCCTGACAGGCACACGTTGGCATCCCCAACACGAAGCTGGATCGTCATTCGTCAGCGCGTATTTCCGCACGGTGCCAGGGTAGTATCGCGATATCTCCGACCTTCGCCGCCTTCTCGGGACAACACACATAAGCGTGCATTGCGGGAGGTGAACGAACGAATAAATGAAACCTTCTTTGTGAAATACAGTGGTTGATTGTGAAGCCTGATGCTGCGATACCTACGTCCACACCCCCCCCCTTCCTTTCCCCCATCTTCTAGCGAGCTCATTTATACTGGGGTGTAAAATGCCCTACTACCATCTCCGCTCTCGGTGCCCTCAGTCCAATCAGAAAGCCTCCCCCCAAATTGCTAACTTTTACTCTAAAACATTCAGTAACCAACCACCATCACAGTATCATTTCAAACGAAAAAAAAATCAATAAGATAACATATATAGTAACGCTAAGTTTCACTGCACTAAAATTGTATGTCTAGTAAAAAAATATTCTCTGAGTGATATTGTAGTAGCAATTGAGGTTGGTGGAACGTGAGGCGGCTTTGAGACTGTTATTCGGTGCTGGGCAAGTCTTATCTCCGACTTTATCGGTCGACCGAGAGGGTAGGTATGGACGAGCGGGGGTGAAGGTGGGCATTTTAAGTGAGGTCCAGGGGAGGCGTGGGGTTTGTTGGGATGGAGCTGTGTTGGCGCAGCGGTAGTGCTTGGTATACCGATCTTGGAATAGGATTTTTTTGGGGGGTGGGGGGGGGACTACTTATGGAGAATACAGAGATGACTTGGCTTAAGTTGGTGCGATAGTATCGCGGTGGTATAACGACAGAGCAAGATAACGAACGGTATAGGTGTAAGGTGTATCTTGAAGTCTGGTTCTATATCTCATCGTGCTAGTTTTATTTTTTCTTGGATGAATTTCTCCGGAGGAAGTATTACAGAATCTGCATTAAAAACGATATGAAAAAATTGCAAGTAGCACTATAGTTATCTGCTTATTCTTTAATTTTTTTTTAAAAAAAAAGAGAGAGAGAAATAATCTAAAGCCTAATACCATCTCCTCACCCATATCCACTTCCCCAGACTCCACAACCCCCGGCATACACACACGCCTGCACACTTCTACCCCACAAACACACCGGGAATAACAAAAAAGAACCAGCATCATCATCCTCTGCTGACCTGCATACCAGACCCACAAAACATCCACGCCTAGTATGCTAAAAGCGCCGCCGGACAAATCGCACCTTTGTAGTGTAGCTACTCCGGGACCTGCGTCGTTAGCTGTATGGATGCGGGTAGTAGAAGGACTGGGAAAAGGCTGTTTAGAGCGCAAAGACAGTAAAGAAATATATCCGCATTGATGGAGTTGCAAATATCAATTTCGTAACCAGATAGTCCTAAAACAAAAAAAAAGGGGAGGGGGGGGGGAACCTCAAGAACACCTGAAGAGCGAGAAGGAGGGAAAATTATAATTTCTTACATGTCAGACAAAGACCAAAGCGGAAGAAGCATGGTATATATATATATATATATATATATAATTGTGTATTACTGAAAGGGAATAGATTCAAAATGGAACGGGGAGTTGGTAGTTGGGTAATATGCAAAGTTATACTCTATATAGCATTGCCCTTGATTACGATTCAGCCCGCAAAAAACCTCCATGTTCTTCATTATTAACACGAGACTCCTCGGTCCATCTGCCAGCTGGCTAGTTCATCTGCCAACATTCCATCTTCATACACACACATTAATACCGGCATACGTGAAAAAGAGAATACAATCATATATTACATTTACATACCATTTCCCCCCTCCCCATGGTATTCGTATTCAGAAACCCTTCATACATACACACCCTCTTTCCCACAATCCTACCTACCTCAATACCTCCTCCCCAAAACTATCTTGATACACATACGTCTCCGTCGTCGTCGTCGTCGTCGTGACGGGTGCCCCCCAATTAATCGGCTGATACCCACTAAACAAGCTATCACCCAGCTGATACCCAGGTTTGTTAAAGTATGACGACATGCGGCCCATGAGGACGGGAGGTGCGGCGTAGTCGTCTTCTTCGTAGTAGTATTCGTCGTGTGAGATGGGTGGTTGGTAGGCGGGTTGGGTTTGCCAGTAAGGGTGTGTGGAGTCGATGCTGAGGCTGGGGTTGCGGCGGCGGGGGGAGGGGGGAGGTGAGGTTTGGGTTGTTGCGTTTGTGTAGGCGGGTTTAGGGAATGAGGGTTGGGAGTGGCGGCAGCCACATGTGCAGTGTGAGGGGTCGGGTATGGTAGTGCGTGGTGGTTGGGCGGTGGCCGGTTCTGATCGGGTATTCGTATTCGATGTGATTTGCAATCGAGGTGGCATTGTAGGTGTGGCGAGAGAATCTGTTCGTATAATTTCTTGCTCTTTCCCAAGATTCGAATCGAATTGGCGACCTGTTCGGTTCTTTGGCGATAACTCGTCTTCCTCTTCTTTCACGTTGGGACCCATGGCACTCCATTGCGAAAGGTAAGAAGGGCGCACTGGCTGGCTGGTCTGCCCTTCTATGATTGTATCTCCCAGTAACGATATTTCCGAGTTCGTCCTCGAATTCGTGTAGCTTAGACTGGGCGGCCGGCTCGTTCGCTGCGAACTTATCGAACTCGATCTCTTACTCCGCCTCGTCTCGCTCATAACACTGTCGGATCGTACACTTGTTTCTGACAACGGCCGCAGAAAAGAAACCGTCCTCGACCTCCTCAGCGCTTGCTTGTCATGCTTCTCCTCATCGTCTGCTGGTGCTGATTTCCTAACCTCCGGCTCTTTGTACTCCAGCTTTCCATTCTTATCCGACGCAAAGTACTCTTCACCACGACCGAAAACCACCTGGAGGGAGTCGAAATCGCGTATTATACCGTCGTTAGGATACAGCCAGTCTTTCAATGCAGGTGGAAGTCCATAGCCGTCTTGCTAGTGTGAGTACGGAGTTCTTCCTCATCGTCATATTGGTAAAAACCCACCTTGTTTGTACTCTCCCCCCTTTGTTTTCCAACAAAGATAATATCGCTCGAACGCTCCGAACGCGCAGACAATAAGGTCATCCAGACTATCCGGGTGATTAGGATCTTCGGGTATCTCTCCCAGTCGCTTATACAGCCGTGTCGAGGCGTCCATAGTGTGTTGCTCGTGAGACGCCAACGCTGATGCGTAAGAAATCGCTTGTCGCAACCTTAGGTGTGAATTACAAATATTAAAAAAAAAGCCAAAAGCACTAGACGAACTTTCCAGAGGATGCAGTGGAGTTCCAAAGTTTAATCAAAAGTTCCAGTTGGTATAATGGTCCAGCCAGTTGTCAACCCAGCAAACTGTCCAGTTCAACGCCCTTCACAAAAAGTCCGCTAGTCCAACCAACCATAGTTATCATGACTCTCCTATTGGTTCCATCATATTTCTATCAGACCACAAATGCTGCAGCGTACTCTTGGACTCGCATGATATATTCCTCATCCGCGACGTTGGCCTAAAACGTGCCGGAAGTTCTGAAGCAGTGGCGACATCCTTGTCAGTTTCATATTTTGGTCGGCGGTTGGGGCCGCAGCCTAAACAGTCGGGTAGACGAAGATCCACTCAAAAGTTAGTGGCCACAGTTGGCGAGTCTAAAGGTAATGTGTGCTTCGAGAGGCGAATTTGGTGTTGTGGGTGGATGTTGTGACGGAAGAGCGATGGAAAACCGCGCAGTGTAGGTGCGCTCAAATATACTCTCCGTAAATCGCGCATCGGGTACGTGGCATGTCCGCCGATCACCCCGAATCTGCAAAGTACAGGAACACTAATATATGATGTCTACCTTCACCAAAAGGATCGAGAACTATGCGATCATCTGCTGGGTGGATAGAGATGCTGGGAGAAAGTTGCGCGTTGATGAGTGAATGGGAAACTTTTCGCAACCATCGAATTCGGCGCGCATATATCCCTCATACGAAATTCTTCTCGGAGAAAATCAAACTACTGAACTTTGTACCGAGACCATTGTTAGAAAAATGGACTTCTCTATGGAATCCAAGAGTACTATACTTAAACTGTATTCTCCGCAACATGCCATTCACTTCTTTCTTTCGTCCCTCCCCCTCGTATTCGTATTAGCGCTTCCCTTATCCTCCTGACTGACCAATTCATCAATCTCTCTAAAAAGCGCAGATGTAGTCTTCCTGCCAACAGTAGCAGATCTCGACCGATTCGGCGCAACAGGAGGAGCAATCTGCCTCCCTGAACTAGACATGTTCCTCTCTCTGCCTACGTACCCTCCACCTATCCGATTACTCATACCCTGGTTACCCTTTCCAGTTGTCATTGTTCGAGCGAGTGATTGACGACCCGGCCCAGGACCAGATTGTATTGTCGGTCTAGGTGATGGGCGAGCTAAGACAGGTTGCTCGGAAGATGAGCGCTCCCTTTGCTGCCGAGCTGAGGGAGGTTTCTGGTTAGATGACTGAGATGTCGACCTCTTCGCTGAGATTTGTGAGTTTTGAGACGTTCTAGAGGCTGTAAGCCGTTGTGAAGAAGATGCTCTCGCGGGACCAGACACTGCTGGGTCTTCCCGTATAGACGGTGCCCGCTGGCGTGGAGGTGTTATTGGTCGTTCGATGAATGGATTCGATACAGTCTTCACTGCTCCTAGTTGTTGGGGTCGCATTGCTAATGCCATTGCCTGCTTCGTTTTCGATACCGCCAGAGCCAGAGGTGCTGGGGTGGGAGACGGCTGAGGTTGTACACTGGCGGCTACTGGCTCTTCCAATACCTCACCATCATTGGAGTACATGGAAGACGTGTTGCTATTAACACGCGATCTATGTTCATCTGACCGTTCCCGTACTTCGTCTTTTGAATTTTGTGCTGCTGCCATGGCTTCAAATTTCAGGGCTTGTGCCAAAGCTCGCGACCCGCTATTTCTATTAAGCTTAGGCGTAGTGCGACTCTCCTTTGTAGGCGGGGACTGTGACACTGGGGGCGAAGATTCTGTTTCGATAGGAGGCACCCGAATCGTGTTATCTGGTGTCGACTGGGGTTGTTCTGGCTCGGAAACAGACTGGCTCGTGACTTGCTGATCGTCGACATCTGGCACATTGGTATCTTGGACTGTAATGACGGGACCGGCAATTGGCTCTTCACTCTCTGCTGATTCGGGCTTTTCTTTTGTCGCTGGAGTGTACGCTGGCGGTGGGGTGGGTACTCTGAATACCAAGGATTCTATCATAGGGGGTGGGTTCTCAAAGATCGACTTTGGAATCTTCATCGGCCTGTACTTGTATGATTCTTGAGCACTTTCTTTTGACGCTTTCTCATCTGCTACACCGGGATTCGATACCAATGGCTCTGGGGCAAGCGGCTGGTCTGTCGGCGCCTCTTCCTTTGTATCAACAGCTCTGGTTGTTGTTTGGTCTAGCTGTCGTGCGTTCATCTCCTTTTGAAACCTCTTTTCCTTTCGACTCAACTCAATCTCCAATACTCTTGTTCCAGGCTCGAGCTTTGATTTCAGTCCATCGTCGTCGAGGTCAAAATACAATCCCCATAGACCAGGCGCTCGCTCTACTGCACACCATCCCTCCCAGCCACCGAATGTCATCCGGCGATCTTGTCGTGTACAATCAAATGGCCCGGTGAGGTTAGGTTGTGCGTCTGCGCGTACACCATACTTGACTTCGCAGGTCTCTTTGTCAATATAAACCCAATTCATAATCGGAGCAACATCAGTGATGGTCGTGACAAGGCCTTCGTATTTTGTGTCCGGGTAAGGCAAGTAATACCCGGCATATGGATGCCCAAGCGGGCTTCCATCTTCGGTTCCAGTATCAATCCATAGTTTTCCGTTCCTCAGAACGACCTGTCGCCCGTTGATTTCTCGGCTGCGATTGGATGACTTGACGCATGTTGCGATGAGATTGCAACGACGAGCGCGATGCTCTTCCCTCTTTTCTTTGGACTGGGACTGGCGTATTGCTTCCTGTGAGCCAAGTAGGCCTGGGGCTGTAATCGTTGCTATGAGAATTGAGAGGACCATCTTGGACGTTGTGCGTCCAGTCGGCGGTGTTTGGGGCGGAGTAAAGCGTGGGGGCCTGGCACATTCGCCATGGCTAGTGAACCGCAATCAGCATGGTCTATGCATGCTATTGCTACTGCTTAGTGTATATTGCCTCGCGACTACCATGATCTGATGCTCGTCTGATGAGGAATAACAATGTGCAGGCTGAGACGCGTACGTTGGACCCTGACAACCCCTTGTATGTTTCAGCTTTACACGCGCCACAACCATAGCATGGCACGAACCCAGACTGTTCATGGAACCGCTGTCGATCTTCGCGTCTGGATGCAGAGACTCGTTTGTGCAATCATGCTAGTACGAGACTCGAACGATAGTAGCCCATCTCAAACGCAGGGAGTGCCGCACAAGCGGTTTCGGGGCCTCAACCCAAAGTGGTGCAGCAGCAGATAGGAGAGCAGCTTGTGGTAGTTAGAGGCCTCAGTACATACCCGTATATAAGGCAAACATATGCCACTCATTAAAGGCCAGTACAGTTGACCTGCACCGCCTTCTCCCATTCTACATTCATTCGACAAACGGCCTGGAGCCCATCGAACCTGAGAGTCCTGCATAATCCTTAATACCAACACCACTCTCCCCAACTCTACACTTCAAACCCAACATGTCTACCATGTAAGCTGCATCCTGACCAGGGTATTCCGCATGTGCTAACCGGTGTCAGGGAATCCACCATCCGCCCAACAGGCTACGGCTCCGACTCTGAGAGTGATGGTCAAGCATCCGGCGGCCGCAAGGTCTCTGCCAACGTCGGACCCGTCCCGTCCTCCGCTACACTCAACCGCCCGGCAGGCAACATCATCAAAGGACCCGTAGACGACAACGGAAAGCAAAAGGACGCTGCTTTGTTGATTGGAATCAAGCTGGATCTGGAGGCGGAAATTCATCTAACGGCAAGAATTCGTGGAGACATTACGATTGGATTGTATTGAGCTATTTGTAAAATCGGAGGGAAAAAAGGTTGACGCAGCCTTGAGCGGACGTGTAAGACATCAGCGATTTGATATGCAGAACTAGCAGTGGAAATGGTCCACTTATTGGCTACCCGAGCATGGGACAAAAAATACGAATGATAGAATCTTTTCCAAACCTGTTCGCAACATTTGTGTGTATCGTTGCCTATGTGGTACAAGAAGTGCTGGTATCACGGCGGAAAACATTAAGTTCTGTTCAGATAGTCAGCATGTGCTGTTTGAAGATTGTGAAGCAAATCATCAAGTAAAAGGTGCTGATCAGACTCATGCCCTGTCACAGGCAGTTATCACCATTGCCGTAGCTCGGTAGACCGTCGTGATAAATTGAATGTTCATCTTATAAGGGAAAGGGGCAAAGACAAGGGCTGACGACTGACATACCATATTCTAAAGTTCATACTTGCAGGTATGGCAAAACCCTATGCAACCTATCAGTTGCTAATTCTGATCGACATGATATTCAACAAGCAGGTTGGGACTGCGGATCAGACGTGACGGTTCTCGTCGTCGCCGGGGCTTGGACATATGCTTGTCTTTGTTTGTGTCGTTTCATCATTGCAGAGGGGAGTGTGGACGATGAGCGTACCGTGTTCATTATAGGGATATGATATCTGTGATCATGTCAGCGAATGCGTCTGTAAAAGCAACACAACAAGTTGAGAAGATGCGAATGTAGATCAGTTGACATGAATGGATATATTTGATTTAAGTCTTCACCGGGCGAACCCGTCGGACTCGTCATCAATTGTTCATCATTTCGCAGGAAGTAACAAGAATAGAGTATGCTTACCGGTTACCTGCTCTGTCATCTCTTGAAAATAGACTGTTAGAGCATTAGCTAATGCCCAAATTTATTTGTGCAGCCATGTGAGGGATTGAGAAGCGATCAGTTCGGCGAGGTTTCTGAGGCCTGCCATAAAAGGCGTATCCGTCAAGAATTGTCGGAGCCCAGTGCCGTATCATCATTGAATGGGGCGGTTGAAGGGAAGGGTAGTGCATACCGACTAGTCTGCGCAACATTCCAGTTAGCAAAAAGATCATGCAAATAGCGGAATGAGCTGAATTTTCGAGCGAAAAAAATAATCAGAAACAGCCATATTTTATCGGCACAGGCAGAAGCCTTGGTCGGTAATTTCCAGCGTGCCGAAGCACAGATGATCATCATTGGAAAGGTTGGGTAGTGTGAAGAGAAAGAAATAACGTACCAGTGAGAGCCCAAAAGGGCAGATCCTGATTTTCGCAGTAATGCGCAAACAGGCGAACAGCTATGTCCACAGTAGTTGCATCGTGTTAGATGATTGATAGCAGATGGGCTTCTATTGTTGGTTAGCCATATGACTTCTCTGCAAATGCAAAAAATATAGGATGAGCTAGTCGCGTTCAGACTGACGTGCAAGTTTAGGTTTCATTCCCCGTAGGGTCAAAGACTCTAGTTTAATTGGCTTTGTGATTCATCATGAAGATGCAGGATGAAATGAAAAAGGAATGCAAATACGTACCAAAGGCAGAGCACTCTGATGGCGGGATTGTTAAATAGTCTAGTTAGCAGAGAATCATGCATAAGCGACAGTCATTGTATCGCAGTGTTGGTAGCCATCGCTGAGTGAAGCGATAGGAATGTGTGTAGAAGAGAGGTTGCAGGCGGATCGAGAAAAGTTGTAGCTCTCGGAGGTTGGAGCTAAATTTTCCGCTCCGCTAGCGCGTTGGTGACTAAGCGAGTATCACGCTAACTAGTCAACAACACATGCACTGTACGTAAGCAAGACTGGCTTGTGCGCATCTTGGAATAAAGAATAGTTTGAAGCAAAACAGACACAATCCGAGGCAGAAGTAGATCGCATTCTGAGCTAATATGGCATACTAAGTGCATATCTCCTCGTTGCTCCACCATTCCTTCTTCGCACACTCACGTCTACCCCATGTTCATGTCCTTGGACCCACGAACGCCATTTCACGACGCGGGAAGATGCTATTTGGTAACTCGGGTATGTACATGAAGTCGTATCGTAAGATTTGAGAGTCATTAAGCATCGCGCGTACAAAGGCGGCGGGACGTCCGTCTGTACATCCAACTTTGGAAATGGAAAGCACAGGAGGTTGATTAAGCTGCATTCGACAGCAAACAATGTCGTCTTCTTTCATGAGGCAAAGATGCGGACATTGAGGTCCACGCATCCCGTCGCAATGACGCACCGTATGCCCTTTGTGGCGTCCTCATTCTTCTTGCTGGTACCGTTCGCTGTGCCATTGGGGGCATCTCCATTGGCAGGTACATCCTTGACGACATTGGGTGCCCATCGCATGCAGCTGACAAAGTGGCCATGTGCGTCAGTGACCGTCTTGACACATCGGCCTTCTTGCGTGAGATCCCAGCACCGGATGGTCTTATCGTCGCTAGCCGATAGCAAATACTTTCCACCAGGATGGAAGACTAGGGATCGTATCCAGTTGTCGTGGCCTGTCAGTGTCTTGATCAGAGTTCCTCGTCCATCCCATATCTTTATCGTCTTGTCTCTCGATCCGGTTGCTATGTACTCGGCTGAGCTGCTCAGTGGCGGTGGCTTTTTGAGTCCAGCAAGAGAGGCAAGATTGGCGTACGACACTGGGGGCGCTATGGTGACGCATTCGATTACATGGTCGTGACCTATGAAGGTACATTTTGGTTCGCCCGAGCCGGCGTCCCATAGCCGAGCGGTCTGATCGTTACCCGCAGATAGTAACCATCGTCCGTCGAAACTTGGCGCTACGTCGCGTACCCAGTCGACATGTCCTCTAATAGTCTTGACGCAATATCCTGTTGTAACGTCCCATATCCGCAATGTCTTATCTCGGGACGCGGATACAAGCAGGTTGCCAGACGACGGCGAGCCTGCTGCGCCGCTGGGTATGAATCGAATGGCAGAGACGGAGTGGTCATGGCCTGGGAGAGTGCGGATGTTTTTGTACTCGTCCGAGGGGTCCCAGAGTTTGATGGTCAGGTCGCTAGAACAGGATGCCAGTAGTGTACCGCCTCTTGGGCCACCAAAGTCAACGTCGAGCACGCCCTTTGTGTGTCCCTTCACTGTCCTTTCGAGCTCTCCCAATTCCCAGTCCCAGATTTTGATGGTTGTGTCCTCTGAGCCTGAAGCAAGTGAGGAAAAGATGGGGTGGAAGGCTACGCATGTTATCGGAGAGCGATGCGATTGGAGCGTGTGTCGTGCCGGGGCTCGTGGCAGCCAGCTGGCGGGGTCCTGATTTCTTCGGAGAAGCGAGGTAGGAGTTGTGGAGTCAAGTTCGCTCTGGAGGCTCTGGTTGCGCTGCTCAAGTTCCAGGACCTGCAAAAGATGAGCATGAAACTCCAGGGAGCAGACTAGCGCACAGCTACCTTCTTCTGCAAGCGGACTACGCTCGTCCACTTCTTCTCGAGCAGCCCCTCGTACTTTTTCCGCGTGGCCTCGTCGAAATTGTCCGAGATGCCGGCTTCCTCGCGGAAAGCCTCTGCGGTCCTTGGCGCATTTATGACACCAAGATAGGCGACAATGGCCTTGTGCCTGGGGGTGCTGTCAGTTGTGGGCGGTCGTACATGGGCCGGTGCTAACACTCACAACTCCTCTGCTTGGCGGTCTGTAAGTATCGCGCTCATGGCGAAAAGACTAGCTCAAACGCGGCCGTCGCAGAAGCCCACCATCTACTGTGCCGCTGGTTGGGCTGGGTTAGGGCCGTGGGTGCGGAGGGTGTTGGTGGGCGCGGGGGAACGGTGTCGGCGGTGAGCAGGGAACAAAGGCCAGGCGGGGTGGGTTTGTGCGTGTGCTTGGGCGTAGGGCGGAAGTGGGCACAGAGATCGCGCAGGCCGCCACAAAGGGAAGGGGGTGTGAATTGGGGGGAGGAATGGGCGTGTGCGTGTATAGTGGGTAGTAGTATGTGGGCAGAACACGGCGGCGGCGGGTGGTGGGCGGCGGTGTGTATACCACCTGGGCTGCTGAGTGCGAGAGTGCAGGGGGTGGCCGCCAGTGGGAAAGACGTGTTGCTGGATCAACGCCCAATGCACATGCGATTTACATCAGTAACCAGACACCACTTGGACCACGACACACGTCTCTGCTGTTTGCTGCACCAGACCACAATATCCCCACCACATTCGCCCAAACAATCCCCCTCTTTGGTCCCACTGACATCATCCGGTACGTCGTCGGCCGCCGCTCCTTTTTCCCCGACGCTGTTCTGGGCCGCTGCGCAACTATCTATCCGCACCTGGCCCTCTCCCAATGCGCATTCACGCGCACTCTCTCTCCTTCTCCAGCTCTCGCTTTTTCCAGGCTTGCGACTGACTCGCCCGATAGTCCCTCCCCCTTCTCTTCTATCCATTTCCCCCATACACAAACACACACGCACACAGTACACGCACATAAATAATAATCGCATACCATGGCCGACGAGGAAGATTTCAGCAAGCTGCCGCTGCCCGATCGCTTTGTACACAAGAACTGGAAGGTACGGAAAGAGGGCTACGAAGCCGCCGCCAAAGAATTCAGTCTAGCCGCCAGCGAGTCCGACCCGGTAGTGCGCCAGTTCATAAACGATGCGAGCATATGGAAGGGCGTGGTGGGCGACTCCAACGTCGCCGCACAGCAGGAAGGTCTTGGTGCGCTATGCGCCTTCCTTGAGATAGCTGGCCAACAGGGCTGCACACGGTAACATGTCGCGTGTCCTTATACAAGACGCTGCTGCTGACTTGGTGCCTAGGACGCGGAATATCACCATCGCTACAATCGCCGAAAAGGGATTACCGTCAACGCGGCCAGTAGCAAAGCAAAAAGCACTCGAAGCGCTGATGTTGTACATTGAGACGGACAAGCCAGACCCAGTCATCGAGGAGCTCCTTCCCATACTAGCACACAAGCAACCCAAGGTTATTGCCGCGACATTAGAAGCGTTGACACAAATGTACCATGCTTATGGCTGCAAGACCATGGAACCCAAGTCTGTCCTTAAATCCCTACCCAAAGTATACGGCCATGCGGATAAGAACGTTCGCGCAAAGGCGCAGGAATTGACAGTCGAGCTTTACCGCTGGCTCAAAGAAGCAATGAAACCACTTTTCTGGAACGACTTGAAGCCCGTGCAGCAGCAGGATCTCGACAAACTCTTCGAAAAGGTCAAAGACGAGCCTCCGCCAAAACAAGAGCGACTGCTCCGTTCACAACAGGCCGCAAAAGAAGCCGCAGCCGCAGGTCCAGACGGGGACGAGGAGGAAGAGGAGGAAGAAGACGCCGTCATTGATCTGGAGCCCGAGTACGTGGCCGTTGATGTATTCGCAAAGATACCCAAGGATTTCTCTGAGAAGCTAGCATCGTCCAAATGGAAAGATCGCAAAGAAACACTCGACGAGGTTCAGAAGGCGCTCGACCACCCTCGGATCGCTGAGGGACCCTTTGATGAATTGATACGTGGGTTTGCAAAGAGCATGAAAGACGCAAATATCGCTGTGGTTATCACAGCCGCTAACTGTGTTGAGCTACTTGCAAAGGGTTTGAAGAAGAGTTTTGCCAAGTACCGCAAGGACGTAATGAATGCTATGATGGAACGATTGAAGGAGAAGAAACAGACCGTCACTGATGCCATTGGAGCCGCTCTTGATGCATCTTTTGCTTCGACGAGTTTCCAAGAGTGTCTTGAAGAGATTCTAGAGTTTCTGAAGCACAAGAACCCTCAGGTCAAACTGGAATCCTCTAGGTTCCTAATCCGATGTTTAAAGACCACTCGCGAAGCACCAACACCTGAACAAGCCAAGGCCATCGCAGAGGCTTCTACAAAGCTCCTCACAGAGTCACAAGAAGTACAGCGATCCGCCGGTGCCGAGGCACTAGGCACGCTCTGGAAAATCATGGGAGATCGCATCATGAATGCTCATCTTGATGGGTTGGACGATATCCGCAAAGCCAAGATCAAGGAGTTCCACGATGCTGCCGAAGTGAAGACCAAGTACAAGCCAAAAACTGCCCCTGCTCCTAAGCCTGCAGCTCCCGCACCAACGAAGAAACCCGTGGGTAAGCGACCAGCACCTGGTGGTGTGAAGAAGGCCGCTCCAGCAGCCAAAGCTCCCCCACCTCCGCCTGTCGAAGAACCGGCCGCGCCGCTTGAACCAAAGCCAACATCGAGACCAGCGCCGCCCAAGTTGGGCGCCAAGCCTGGTGCATCAAGACTGGGAGGATTGAAAAAGTCAGGTCTCGCAGCACCCTCGCCACGAAAATCCGCCCCATCGCCTCCGCCGCCGGAAGAAGAAGAAGAAGCACCACAGCCGCAGCCCAAGTTTGGCGCGGGCCGTGGTCTTGCGGGACGTCCCTTGGGAAAACCTGCTGCTGAGCCTGCTGCAGCCCCTGTCTATCAGGCCCCCACCGGACTGAGTCTAGTCGAACGGGCTGAGCTTGATGAGCTCCGAGCCGAAGTTGAGCGAATTCGAAGGCAATATGAAGAACTGCGGGCGGAGCGAACAAAGCTTTCATCGCAGATTTTCGAGCTCCAAAACCAAAATGCCCAGCTAATCGAAGACCACACACGCGACGTGCTTTCTATCAAAGCCAAGGAAACACAACTTGTGCGTGCCCGCTCGGACTTTGAAGCATCTGAGCAGACTGTTCAGTTCCAGCGTCGGGAAATCGATCGATTGAAGCGCGAACTCAGTCGCCAAGTGCGTGTGTCTTCTCCACCACCAGCAGATGTGGTTGATCATATTTACTCGGACAATGGCAATGGGGGACAATTTGGTGACTCTGGATATGGCAGCCGGGCCATGCATCCGAGAAGAGACAGGAGTTTTGCAGGTGGGCCAAACAGTCCCGGGGGTGATGGTAAGGAGAACTTCGACACTCTGTCGCGGCCGAGCAGTAATTTGAGTGGTAAACTGAGTCCCCGAGCAGATGCCGCTTCTGGCAAGTCATCTCTATCATCGCGTGGCGGCGACCGCATTAGCTCTGGCGAAAATGGCGGCGGGTTCCGGTCCAGCTCACAGGCTGCTTCGGGAGCAGAGAGCTGGAAGCGTGCTGCAGAGGTTACTCAAAACTTGAAGCAGAGGATAGAAATGATGAAGGTAAGTTGACAATGTCTGTTGCATGTGATGGAACTGACAGCGGGTGCAGGCTAAACAGGGGATCGGACGTCCACAAGGCTAATATCCATATGGTTTGAGGCCTTTGCATTGATGGGATGGATTGGGTAATAGGCGAAGGGGTTCGGTTGGGGCCATTTTAGCACGGGCCGCGCAGTGGGCCTGATGGAATGGTGATCAAGGGAGCACTGGTAATAGGTACGGCCATTGAGCTTCGCAGCTGACGGTCGTGTCGAGTGCTGCAGGTACTTTATTCATGTGCATCTTCAACGGCGTTTGGACTGATTTGGGAGGTTCCGGTGTGATAGTGATAACGGGGCACATGGGCGGGATAGAATGGGCAGGCACTAATAGTGTGTGTGTGTGCCCCAGGGCAAACAGCACTGGACTCGAGGTGTTTTTCCTTCCGTATGAGATTCCCCGAATGCTTGTCCCGTCTACTGTTGGAAGTTAGTGGCATCAGCAATCATGTCATGGCTTGCCAGGTCGCTTGCAAGCACAGTCCGGGGTTCTTCAAGGCCTCGACTCCCGATAACGCGTACCAGAGTGTTGGGATGTAACTGTGCCGCAGCAGAGATCCGCTTGCCGAACCTGGAATGTCAGGCAGTTCCATGTCTGGCTGCGTGCAGCGCCTGAATCGATTTATCTGTCTTCCTTTTTTTGCTTCTGCATTCTACTGCACCCACTCTGCCGTCCTTGGTACACGCCCCCATGGCACAGTCCCTCGCAATGGATGCCGGATTGTCACAGCGCACGCAAAAGGCATTGCGGGAGCTCCTCCCTACCTTCGCGGCAGGGGCCCCACAACAGCAACAACAACAACAACCACCTCCACATATCACCGATCCCTTCCCCCCAACTATTGATCTGTCTCGTGGCCTCAACGAGGCCATCCATCCTGAGCTGCTCGAGTTCTTTCATAGCACTCTGGAGGATAACATTGCGAGCGAGGTCCCTAGCCCCAGGCCGAGCAAAGTTGTGCTTCCCCACTAACCCTCTAGACAGGCATTTGCAGCCCCCGCAGCATCAGTAAATGGCGGCGATCGGCGACTCCGCTATGCACTAGCCGCCTTTTTTAATTCATACTTCAATCCCATCCACACCGTGAAGCCCGAGCACATTGTCCTTACATCGGGAGCCGTCGATGCCGTCGAGAACGTCATCCACGCCATTTGTGACGATGGTGACTGCATCCTCGCTCCCGGTCCGCATTGGTGTATGTATTATATGTACCATCTTGAGAATATCAGAATATCCAGAATCACGATGCTGAGAATATTACAGCTGGCTTCGAAACAATCCTAAAGAGAAAAGCGAATGTGGAGCTGATTGTTGCCAAACCACCCACCTACTCACATTGGGACAACTATCTTCTCCCTTCACTCCAAGCAGCATACGATTTCTCGGATAAGCGCTCGCGTATCAAGGCCGTGCTGCTGTGCAATCCCAATAACCCACTTTCAAGATGCTATCCCCGCGAAACATTGCTTGAGCTCATGGAGTTTTGCCAAGAAAGAGGATTGCATCTCATCTGCGATGAAGTCTACGCCCTCCTCGAGCTGTCTGGGACAGATAGCAAAGCCCCAGACTTTGTCAGCGCACTCAGTCTAACGGAACCGCTTGCACGCGCTGGAGCAGTCAAGGTAGATCCGAGCCGCGTCCACGTAGTATGGAGCGCCAGTAAATTATTCGGCATGAGCGGATTCAGAGTGGTATGTGCTTCTTCTTTCAGTCTTCATCTCATGACCCCCCAATTCAACCAAGTGTCTTGTATTCACAATAATAATATAGGGATGTCTCGTATCGCAGCAGAACCCTTCCCTCTTACACGCCATGGCCCTAACTTCCACTCACCCTTCTTCACTCTCAACATCTCACCTCTCCGGCCTCTTGTCTTGGTCCCAACTCCCCACTCTCCTCGCCCTCAACTCGGAGCGTCTAACCATCAATTACAAGATGTTAGCCGCCGTCTTGCGCAAACACGACGTACCGTTTCTCGCGCCTTCGCACGGTCTCTGCATGTTCGTCCGTTTAGCAAAACGCGCGAGGACGCAGCATGACGAGGCGAGGTTTTACAATGACATGGCGAGGTGGGGCGGTGTCATGGTTGCCCAGGGAAAGAGTTTTAGAGGCGTGGAGAGGGATTTTGGGTGGGCGAGATTGAGGTTCTCAGTGCCTGTTGCGGAGATGGAGGATGCTGTAAGGAGGATAGATGTTTTTATGGGAAAGCACGGGTGAAAGAGACTTGGGTTGGGTAAAAAGAGATATATGTGCGGTTTGTTAATGTGAGAAAGCGTTTCTTGTTTTTTGGGTTCATGCTCTGTAGGCTGTGATGTATATCACTTCTTTCGTAGTATCTTAATATCTTTTTCCTCTCTCTCTCTCTCTATCTCTCTTGAGATTATAGTATATTTGTGCTTCATTGAGAGTAGTATGTAATGCGACGTAATCTGAATAGACTTTCCGAGGTTGGTGTTGAACTGAATATTCTACATTAAGGCTTTTCCTGGTCCATGTACCAAAATGTGCTCCCACAGGACCAATATGTCAACACCTCATCTCATCTCATCATATTTTCTCTTTTTTCTTTCCAAAAAAACACCCATTCCTATACATACCTCCAACCCCACCAATCCTCTTCAATCTCTCCCCCATCCATCCTACAAGGCCCCTTACTCCCCTTACGCCGCCTTCCCCAACACCCCCTCATTCTCCTCAATATACTTCACCATATCCTCAATCGTACAAACCTTAATCCCCCACTTCTTGCCAAATGCCAAACACTCATCCCTCCTCATCATACCCCCATTCTTCAACTCAGGTTTGCCTGGCACCTCCTCGCCATCAGTAATAAGCTCGCAAATAACACCGACCGGCTCTTTGCCCGCAAGACGACACAAATCGACAGCGGCCTCGGTATGTCCCATGCGCTCCCTGACACCCCCATCGCGAGCCTGGAGCGGCAGGATATGTCCTGGGCGGCGAAAATGGCTTGCTTTTGCGCTGGGGTCGGCCAGCATGCGGCAGGTGAGGCTGCGGTCGTGCGCCGAGATACCGGTTGTGACGGAGGGATCTGCAGCGTCGATACTGACGGCGTAGGCGGTACGGTTGGGGTCGGCGTTGTCGGCGACCATCTGGGGGAGGTGCAGGGCTGCGGCGCGGGAGACGGGGAGGGGGGCGCAGATGTAGCCTGAGCTGTAGCGGATCATGAACGAGGCTTTGGAAGGGGTGAGGGCTGAGGCTGCGATGATGAGGTCGCCTTCGTTTTCGCGCGCGGGCGAGTCGAGGACGATTACGAATTCATCGTTTGCTGTGGGGTTGTGGGTTAGTAAGTGGGTTTCTCCGGGGGGAGGTTGGAGGTAGACGTACCGAATGCTTGTATCACATCTGATATCGAGTCGAATGCTGGGTGTGAGGGTGTGGAATTGATCGTTTCTGTCGCGTTGCCGTTGACGCCATTTGTGCCGTTGGCGGGCAGCCCGTTCTCCAGTTCTGTAGTCATACTTCCAAGTGTAACTTTTTTTTCCTCGTCTCCTCCTTCTCTCTTTCTTCCTTTCTTTCTGCTCTTTACTTTGTCTGACGTATATAATATGTATCCAAACTCCTCTTGTGCAAAGTATATATTAAGACGTGACGAGATTACCGCGGCTATCGCTCGGCCCGTATGACTGGTTTCGCAGGCCTCTTCCCTGGCGGTTGCCAATTTACGTGCTTAGAAAACAATCTCGTAAGCGACCGGATATCCGCGTAGCCTCGGAGCCCCAAATCTTTTTCTATGTGCAAGTGGGCAGGCGTGGGGAGGGGCTGAATGAAGTTATGTAGTACAGGAAGACGTAAATAGTTCGGATGTTAGGATTGTGTCGATTTCCAGGTCGCAGAAAGTTGACAGGTGGGTGATCGGTAGGATTGTGTTGTAATTGTCTGCGGAACCGCCGTTCGGATGTCCCGATGTCACTAGCAGATGGAGGGGTGATCAGATGCACATGCCTCGGCCTTTTTACCCTGCGTCGGTGCGAAGCGAACCGCCGCTCCGATCCAGGCCCAGTCCATTGCTCCGACATGGCCGATGGGTGTGGCTTGTTGGCTTGTGATATGACATATGTGTAACGTCAGGTATCCAGACAACACCTCTTTTGCGCTAATACATCAACTGTTAACGGTTATCTCGAGGTGGCACGTGGATACACCAATTGTAAGTATCTTCAATCAAAAGAAAAACCAATTCCGTCCCAGATACAAACAAGGGTATAATTCAAGATCGCTCATCGGTCTCTGAGGATGCCGTATAGCTTCCTCTCGTTCGATGACCGGCGTCACTAACGCTTTAAAACACTAGTCTAGGTACAGCTGCACTGAATTCAGCTATGCAAAAGCAGCCCTAACGCTAAAAAAAATCAATTGAACAACTAAGCCTGCTTATCACTGACAAACTCTTTGTCGCCGTGAGTAGAGCTGCCGCCGCTGCGGGTTTCCGCAACACCCTCAGTCTGAGGGCTAGACTTCCAAAAGTCCATCTTTCCGCTCTTAAGCCTCTGCACCCAGGGTGGGAAGAAGCCGCCCTCGAGGCGGTATGTCCAGTGCTCCTTCTCGTCCTTGTTAGGTGGGACGATGCGGCCGCCAGACGCGAGCTCGAGCAGCCAGACCAGAGTGTTAATCAGAATGTAGGAGCAGATACCGGCAATCAGACCATAGGCAATCGAGTATGTGAAAGGCATAACTGCGATAGTGAGGAAAGCCGGAATGGAATCGCCCAGGTAGCGCCAGTTGATGTCCTTGGCCGAGGTAGCCATAAGAGAACCAACAATGACCAACGTACAGCCAGTGGCCCATGGCGGGATTGAGGCGAAGATAGGAGCGAAGAAGATAGAGATGAAGAAGCAGACTCCGGTAAACATGGCAGTAAGACCAGTCTTGCCTCCTTCGGAAATACCAGCACCAGACTCAATGTATGCAGTGACGGGAGGGCAGCCCATAAGCGAGCCAATAGAGATACCGATCGCATCTACAGAGTAGGCAATGGAAGAGTTCTCAAAATCCTGAGTGCGCTCATCAATAGCACCGCAG